CCTACTCATTATTATATTTATATACATACATATACATATATATATATACATACACACATATACACACATACATATATACACATATATACATACCATACACATACAAATACATATACAATCATGGACATAAACGCCTACACAAATACATAAAAATATATAAATACTGTTCACGAAAAGTATACAAGTAATAAGTATGCTAACCAGACATATAAACACATTAAGAAGATGACAACTTGCTCAAATAATAGTTCTTCAGTTTTGTTTTAAAACCAGCCGTACATTTTATATTTCGTAAGGAAACTGGTAAAGCATTCCAAAGCCGTACAGCTTGCACCGTAAATGATTTGTCATAAAAATTAGATATATATATATATATATATATATATATATATATATATATATATATATTGTATTATTTTCGTAAAGTTCTATCTACCCGTGCAAAACCGGGCCGAATCGCTACTTATAAATAAATTACGTACGTACAAAAGACAAATCGTATTCACTACATACATCCCATACAGTATTCAAATATCTACAAAGACTTGAATCGTGTGACGTCTTTAGCCACTTTGTGGTTATGCGCACCATGAGTCTCTAGTGATTGTGAATCAACGGAAGTCGCCGGGACGACATGATATTTTGAGCGAGGCGCGCCGGGCATGCGACTTGTAAGGTATAAATAAAGTTCCACAAGTCCAACGTTAACAACGTACACACAGGCAAGCCGACTCCACTCTGTTGTACTACGTAACTTTCTATCTATACAACGACACTAGTTAAAATATAAATTACTAGGCTTTGCCTTCTTGGAATAGGATAAAAAGTATTTTATGTTAATCTGGAATAAAGTCTATCGATCTATGAAATCGACTGAGTAACATACAACTTAACATATTTATGATACTAAAGGGATACATAGGAATAGGATGTCACAAATGCTATTCTTATAAGATGTTTAATAGTACTTATTTATCACTTTATCTTCCTCATTGGTCGAGCATTTGATATTTTATATTTTTCTGATACAGAAATTAAATTTAAAGAAATGAGATTCTCCCCGCCGATAGATTAATTTTCAAGTTAATTTTGTTATAATTAAAAAATAAATTAACTTATTGTACTTATAAGTTTTTTTTTGTACGTTAATATTTAATTAAAAATAAACATGCATGATCTAATCTTTGGTTCCCTAATAAATGAATTAAACGAGTGTATTACAATATCTACAACAGACTATAAAAATTAAATATTTATCATAGAATCTATTAGATAGTTACATGCCTACTTATTTTAGAAACTATCATACTAACTGTTGTGTAAGCTCCACAATTTATTAGGTATCGTATTTAAACAGACTAATTTACTGCTTATTGAAATTAGATTCGCATTCTTGGCATTGTGGAGGCAATATAAACCAATCGGCTCCTACTAAGAGAATGCTGATGTCAAACAATCATTCTTGATAATGCGAAATATTACTAACCAAACACTAGACAGGTACCTATCTATTTTGCATTTATCCTTGGCCAATTTAGAAAGGATATCCGTTTATGCAGTGTACTGTTATTTAGGGACTTACATACTTAATAAGTGTTAGTGTGAAATAGCCGCCAGTTAACCATATATCACTAGATCTTGCCCACACATTGCATACAATTATATTATTTCACATAAAGCCACGTGTACCAGTGTAAACTTATACACTTAATACTATCTTGTAGATTAAATATTCATTAATAATCTATCCAATTATTAGTTGGCAGATAATCAATGCATATTGTATAAAACTATATTATATAGTTTACACAGAGTAATGTGTAATGGTTTAAATACACGTATATAACAGTGGCAAATTACCGAAAATTTTTACAGTATTGTATTATTGCAAGTGATCTACAATTAGTAAAATAAAATCAAAATATCTCAGTACTATTTTACTGTAATTATATAACTATATCGTACTCAAATTGGAATAATACCAATTATACCAATAAGTTACGTGTTCCTCTAACCTTTTTTTACCTAGGTATCAATGGCCACACAATTTGTCCTATAAACCTTTTCACTATATTTCTTTGTAAACATTACTTCTGTGGACTAAATTTTGTGAGATTGCACGTAAAGCCATATAGAGAATTAAGTATATATAGCGTGACAAATACAACACTAGAAATTGACTCTACATGACTCTACAGCAACTTTACAGCCTATTCCTATAAACCTTTCACATTAGTATAAGATGTAGATCTTATATAGAAGCCATAATACGCTAAATTTACGCTAAATGCCACAAGAAAGAACTACTAGTTTATTTGAGATCAAACATATAGTATAGAATTCACGAGACCTTACGTTAATCAAAAAATAAAATTATCCTCAATTTAAATTGGTTTCTGTGTTCAAATAATAAGTACATACAACAGATATTTATAGACGAGATGAGTTATCAAGAATCAAAATAAAAACATGGAATAGACATATCCGGTCCCGATTCACAAGCCGCTTTCAAGGACACACCCAGCCCGCACCCTACTTCCGTTCCATGAATTGGGGTAAAGTAGGTATGTATATTGTTACAGAACCAAAAACACCAAAATAGAAGCACATGGCTCTTTAAATCATGCAAGTAATTACCAGTTATTATCATCCTCAACTGCATTAGTAATATTATATACCTACCTACTACTAAATAACGTTATGCTGTTTCGTTCAATATATATATACTCATAGTGACCAATTAAGTAACCTATCTACATTGTACATTCCATTAGGTCATGAGACAAAGTTCGCGGAATCTCTTCCCAGTTTGCAAATTAAAACGAACGATACACTATGATCAACTTGTCGCATTAACACTTCACTTTCCCAACAACCCAGAATTTAAGGCATTTACTCATCTGCCGGCAAATTGCGCGTAATTACAGACCCGTAGGGGTAGTTAACTGTGCACTGTAATAATAAAGGAGAAAACAACCAAAGATCACCAACAAAGGATCACTTTCACAGAAACAACATAAAGTATGTCGTGTGAAATGTTTATTTTCCAAAAACATGCCCATATAAATAAAGGTAGGTGCAACCTATGCAATGTGCAAGCAAATTTCCATCGAAGGCTAACCACCGAGACGGGTGCGCATGCTCTCAGTCGACCAGATGCTTGTTTATATTTCCATTCGCGCATGCCGCGTTCCACTGGACTCGTTTGTCCACTTCAATGATCGGTAAATTCTCAGTTGAACGTTGAAATCTGTTGGATATCGTCAACGTTTATCAAATTACAACATATTCTGTACATACATCTAGGAACTAGATTTAGATAGGTCGATACCTACTTTACACAATTATTTGATAATAAATAGCGTTTTCTATAGACGACTATTTTTTTATATTGACGACCTTGGTGGTATAAAGCAATTCATCACACTGCATCGCTTTCTAATAAGATCAGGTTAGTATGGGATGATAGATAGGTTTTTATACAATATACAACAAGCATACAGCCAGCGTCTGATGACAAACAGTGGCCGCAACCTCTGGACGCCTGCACCACTAAAGGTGTCGATGTCGCCAGCAACACGATGATCCCACTGCTAACAATGTACCTTAACAGGTTGACTTCCACACAGTCCTCTCTGAAAATCATCATGGTTCATTCCTAGTTAATCTGTCACTATGAGTCAAAAGATCTGCTTTCATCCTCATCTATCGTCACAGACGGGTTATAGTCCCATTATAAACGTTGAAAAAAATATGATAATCTTTAATGAATAAAAATGGAAATAGTACATCCACGCAAGTATACAATGCATAGGCTTAAAAATGTAGTCAGACATTGCTAATAATAATATCCTGTCAAGTTAATCTCTTCGCGAATCCGCCTGATAATCATTGTGGTTTGTTCCTGTCCTAATGAACACGTCTTGGTAGAAAAGGCTAAAAACTGACTTCATTCTGATCTATCATACCACCCCTGATACCACCATCTTCCAATAAAAAGTTAATAATACTAGTAGCACTGCTGATGCCACCATACAATATCTAAATCATGACGTATAAAAAGCATTTAGATCTCTAGAGATTTTTTTTTTATTTCAAGTTTTAACCCGAGATTAAAAATGAATACTAAGAATAAGGAATCAGTAAGAATCTATTCAACTTGGATACTAATTCATTGGCTATTTCCTATTTTAGAATATGTCTACAATAGAAGATGTATTGAACATTCTTCAATCTCGTATTTTGAAATCCCTTCGATTTTCTGTAGGTTAATACATCAGTGTTATTAGTAATGATTATATTATATGTGGTATACCTTCAGCATACTTTCAATTCGTATAAGATTGTTCGTTTAACAATTCTTTTTTAATTATACTCGTGTATACACATAGTTATTTGTCCGCTACTTCGTATGCGTAGATTTCAGAAAGCAAAACAATGAAGTAGACCACTGTTAGATGGCGTATCAAGATAAAACATATATATGCCTACTAAATTTTAAATTAGAGCTTTAAGAACACAACAGTGAAAACCGCATCTAAAGTAATAGTTTTTGCGTGATACCGGAACAAACACATTGACAGAGATTCAGGCAAAATTTCTAAAAAAATTGCTTTGGCATTTGTTGGTCTTATAAAGACCCTTTATATTATTTTTTTCTTAAATATCTCTCTTGTACAGACATCGTCTAATTACAATTTTATTACATTAGTAAGATAAGATACATAATATGCAGCGTAAAAATATTTATAAAACAAAAATTTTTATTCTTAGTTATAAAGTTTTTTTCACATCATAATCCACCTGCTATTTTATTCCAAGCGGTTAGTGTTTTTGATAATCTCTACCTAGTTGTACAGTTGGATATCGAATGCAGTTTAAGCTGGCGCACTTTGAAATAAAATAAAATGAACGTAACGTAATAATGAAATGACTTGCGAGACGAGACGGGCAGGATAGGGGGCGCGGTGGTGCCCTTACCCCTCCACCCGCCTGCACACCCGCAGTCGAGCGAGAGGCGACAGTGTGTTAGCTGCGCGTCTTGTGTTTTTCTGATTTTACGGTGCGATTGACGTTTTTTTTTTTGTTATTATTTAAAAGTAGACAATAATGTGTACATACGCGTGTGAATATATACAATTGTTGACAATCCTAACTTAGCCTGTACGGACATTATAAAAAAAGTGTCGCTGAAGGAACTGTTTGTTACATGGATACCAGTGCCTTTTGTTTTTAAAACAGTGGATTATATGAGATTGGTGCTGTTTAGTTACTCTTAGTTCCTGTAAGGTCTCTCGTGGAACCACCTCTGTGACCAGTGATTGTTGTCGTGGCCGGTTTCCGTGGAGGAAACTTTCGAAACGTGAATAAAATAGTTGGTAATGCTTTCTTAGCGAATGCGAGCCCTGGCTGCACGCATTCCGTAGGGAAGCAAGTGCCGACATTAAGCATTTTACGGTGAGTATGGTGCATTCAAGTTCATCGTACTTTGACACACTTTGTTTTGTAATTATAAATGACTCCACCTCTGATACCCTGAAGTGTCAAATGTCGACACGCTCACACTATTTTGCAACTAGTATTCAATTATTAAAGCTACTACTAGCTTGTTTATCTTACTGCCAAGTCTGTCTTGACCTTGAACAAAAATAAAGATGAAATTTTCAATTGAACCATACCCACAAGTTGCAACGAAATCTGACACTTGAATGGAGCCTTTAGAAGAATGGGTCATTGGATACCCTTAACTGGATGGCTTAATTACAATTGAACAACTATTTTTTATAATAAGAATGACTTATAATGTAAGATTTATCAATAATTTCTAAAAGTAGGATTTTCAGAAAAATATCTATAGCATCATAACTTTATTCCTTTACTTCTATTCACTTAAGTGGAGACTCTCAAATATAACTTGCCCAAAATAAAATTATACTATTTAATTCTGCAATAACAAAATTACACTGGCATTCATAGCTCAGAAATAGGGTGGGTATCCGATAGATTTTAGTTTTTAGTACTGTTGTTTATTATCCCACTAGCTGTTTCACATTGCAGTTCCGGTGTAAATTAGGATCAAAATTAAGAATCAAAAGCTTATGATAATTTGTTTATAATAAAATAAAAATAAAAAAATTTGTCAAAAATACAAAAAAAAATATTTTGAGGTGGATCACCCTTATGATTGAGGGGTATGAAAAATAGATGTTGGCTGATAGTCAGACCTACATGATATTCACACAAAATTAAATAAAAAATGGTTAAGCCGTTTCGAAGGAGTTTGGTAACAAACACTGTGATACGAGGATTTTATATATTAGATATACATATATTCTTTTTAATTCTTATATATTTTTAATTTGCAAAAGATACTTTTTTAATTATACAGTACTATCATACCTACTTGTACAACAATTAGTCTATTACCTTAAGGTTATCTTGAAAAGATTGCTCTCAGCAATAAGACCGCCTTACTGTACTTATACAATTGTATCATTGTGTTTGTAAATTGTCTTGCTTATTTCCTATGTTGTATAATGCAAATAAAGTACACTCATTCCTTTATTCAAAATATCAAGTGTGCGATCCATTTATATTCCTAATTTCATTCAATTCCTTTTAATTGTTTAAATGTTATTGGGTGACCAACATTGATATATCATTACAGTCTTTAAAAATTATAATAAACTAGCTGACCATTTTTTTAATAATGTAAAAAATATTATATATATTCTTTCAAATTCTTTCAATATTTCAGAGAATCGTGTGAGTGAACATTGTGACATGGGGGTTTTATGTATAAAAATTAGTAGGATATTATAATATACATAATTGCTATATTTACTATAAATATTATTATTTATTTGGAGTAAATAAACTCCAAATTAAAGTCTTTTGGAATTACCTAATTATTTTGGAATTACACATAAAGAAGCAAAGAAAGTTTTGAAACATTAATATTTACTTATTGTTTTTAAATAGAGCTGTAGGCAAATTTGTAAACAACAAAATTGTTTACAGTTTGGCAGCAAAAGAGTTACCAATTTCAAATTAAAATTTTTGGTTCAGATCCAACTTATAATAGTTGGTATACTGAATTAATTTATAATTTTAACAGAAAGAGTTTAAGTTCATGGCTGTATGTCATGTTTTTAGCCATACTGATAAAAAATGCATTTAATAGTACACATCATTACCATGAGGAAAATGTACAAAATATATATGTGAAAATTAAATTTAGGTTCAATATTTATTATCTCAAGATACACTGCTATAATTTGCACTATATGAAAAGTAATATTCTGCCAGAGAGGCCATGAATAGATAACTCTAAAGGTGTCTCTACACATATACATTTACATTTAACTTACACACACACACACTGTAGTCTTTTACTGTTATTATCCCACTTGTTTTATTGCATCTAAAATTAAATTATATAACAAAATAAAGGTACTTTCTTTCTATACATATTATACAGCTAACAGTACTTGGTATAAAACAACAAATATGAAAAATCTTACATAACAAAACAAATTAAAAAATTATTAAAACTTCGCAATCTTCACCAAATATGGAACATTATTTATTTTAATAGTTTTTATTGAAGAAAGAAATTAATTCTAATGTTATTTTCCATTGACTTCAAAAAGAAGGAGGATTTAAATTCGGTTGTATTTTTTAATGTTTGTCACCTCATAACTCCGGCAATTCTAAACCGATTTGGAAAATTCTTTTTTATCTGAAAGGATATACTTACACATTTTATCAAAATTGGTTCATACTTTAATTTTTAGATCAAAATAACTGGTTTTGTCACAATTGAATTTGAATTTTTTTTTGTGGATGACAATCTTTAATGACTAATGTCAAAATCAAAGGCTTGTTTTCTATATAATTAATTGTGTAATTAGTCATTATTGTAGCTATTTTTGTTTCAATAATATAATATAATAATCCAAACTTATTATTCTTATAATTTATTAAATTTAATGCCAAACTTATTTGCTAGAAATATAAATAGTTAATTGAAATTCACCTAATATCTCTTAGAAAACACATTACAATAGAAGAAACTTTTTTCAATAGATTTGAAAATATTAACGGTATTGTTTTGAATATTTTTGCATAATCACATTAGTTGCTTGAAAAGTTGTTTCTGACACCAACTGGTAAATGTGTTATACATTTTTGTCAAATATTTGTTTTCATATACTCTAAAAACTAAATAAACAATGATAAAATAAAATTCATAATGTTTTCATGTCATAATTCATATAGCATGTGAATAATGGCCCAAATGTGACACTAGATGCAGAAAATAAAGTCAAATGTTTCAGTGAAATAATCACTTTGTCATTTTATGTTAGTATACTACTACTAGTACTACCTGCTCCGAAAGGCACCAGTCATGAAGATATAAATAACTGTCTACATTTATATCATATACTCTGTGACCTGTCTTCACCCCTAATATCTATCTCTCACCAACAAACCTCTTGTTTCGAATACTTGAAATAACACTGATAAAACCGACATACGACTGCCAGTTTTATATTACATTTTTATTAAGTTTCAGCCCATACGTTCACAAGAGCATGCCCCTAATTTTTACAACAGTTCCCTTGTGTATTTTTATCTTAATCTAAATAAATTAATGCTGAAGTCGAACAACTTATCTTTTACTTATTGAATTCTCAATTTTCTTACAAAATATAATTTTACTACGACTATATATTTTTAAGTATGTTCTTAGATTATTATAGGTATTTATTTATAATTTTTCGTGTGAGTACAAAATATCTGGTGTCTGAACAAATCGTATTAATAATAACGTATTATTATATTTGAAAAGACTCATATTGATAACAACTGATGGAAAGTATCAACAAAAACATAAACATGCACACACAATACCACTGACCCCTATCAACCATATAGTATATTTCATACGTTATCATTACAGAGAACTAAAACTTTACGCTCTGTCTTCACCAATTCTGCATTTTATCATCTATTTATCATTTTATCATCTTTCCTTTTGATAAGTCTACTCCCTGTGTTGGTCTTGTTACATTTCTGCAACGATTGCGGCGCTGATTTTTTTAGGCGAATTCCAAAATAAGAGTATCAATTCTGCTTGCGTACATGTTATACGATATCTTGGCCAATTCTAGACAGATTTTGATATATTTTAATTATAAAATCCTGCTATTGTTTTTAGTGAATTACAACTAAAAGGTCAGTCGTAATTACTCTTATCCGTAATGATGATTTTATTACAAAAAATCAGTTCTGTCCTAATTTAAACTTATAATTCCCATAATTTTACAAGAAATATCGTTTTTAAAAATTGGTCGCTTACATTATTACGAGATGCCTTCGAGGTACGCTCACATAACATTATAGATAACTAGTTGTGATCGCGACGTCGTTCTCGCAGCAAATTTCTTTATTTTCCCATGAAGATAAGACATTAGAGATTCGACGAGTTTTTTTTTTTATTTCAGTGTAATTTAGGGTATGAAGAAATGCATTCCCAAAGAGGGTTTTTTTTTGATAGGTGAAAATGGTATGGTATCCCCACCTGCGCTAACGGAATACGCTGGTGGAGCACTAGTGAAGGGTGATAGATGAGAATGAAAACAGGCCAGTTAGCCCATCATGATGAATTCATCAGGAATTAACCATGATAGTTTCCAGGGGGAACCGCGAGGAGGTCGACTTGGTTGGGTATATTGCTAGCAATAGGATTCTCAGTCTCCATTACTAACAATCCTTTTCCCCCCTCCCAAAGAGGGTTGACGTCAGGCAAGCGGTCGGTTGTTAAACCAAAACCTTGTAAAATATGAATAAAATCATATTACGCCGACCCCAAATAATTGATATAAGGACTTTACACTTTCTACTTTAAAGGATTTTACTTGGTGCAATAAAGTGTAAAATAAATAAATAAGGTCAAAAATGATAATAATTTTTCATTGCATTATTTCAGTGAAATAAAATGGAAATAAAAAATTAAATTAATTTATCCTCTCTTCGTATAAATGCATTGGATATTTAACTGCAGCACAAAGTAGCCTATATTATTAAAATTAATACTAATAACACTACAATAAATTACATAAAAATCTATACGAGTTATAGTTTTGGTGTGATACCTACACCGGCACAATCTATTTACTATTAGGACAAATAGATTTAGACACTGACATGACTTAATTCTAAAATGTCTAATGTATTCAACAATAATATTCAAATACTCGTATGTTAGCAGTATTTTTTTTTGTGAGACATCACCTATTTTACTTTCACATTCTACTATGTGGGTAAGAATAGAATAAATGCTTATTCTTATGATTCGACGTAAATTAACTTTCTCTGTGTAGCGAATACTATATAAAAAATCGAATGTTTTAATTGATCCCTATGGAGTACTTTTTTAGTGTTTATGGTTCGTATAAATAATATTTTTTACCCATTCCTATTTCTACCAGACATAGTTTCAACAATCCTGAGCCGTCCAGCCTTTTGACACACACACGCCTTAGATATAACGTGTTTTTACCGTCATAAATTTAATATAAATACGTAATTGTAAAGTGAAAATCTTTTAAAAAATATATAACTTATTTCGTTCATGTTTATGAGTTGACTTATATATTTTAAGATAGCTGTACATGCGACTTCATCTGCGTAATAAAAAGCCAATGTCCTCTATGCCAAATATTGTGTATGCCAAAATTCATAACGAATGATTATGCGCCAAGAGATAAACAAACTCACTTTCATGTTACAATATTATTGAAGACTAACTGACACAGCGAACTTCGTTCCGCCTAACAGTCGATTCTTTAATTTTTTTTTTATTATGATACCTACTTAATTTCATTGTGAGCTGCGCGCGGTATTGGACAGTACTTGGACATTGAAACATTACTTTATTTTTCTAAAATAAAAGATTTTTTTCTAAAATAAACGTAGCCTAAGTTACTCCTTATTACATTAGCTACCTGCCAATAAAAGTCCCATCAAAATCGGTCTAGCCATTTCAGAGATTAGCCGGAACAAACAGACAGACAGACAAAAATTGTACAAAATGTTATTTTGGCATGTAGTAAAAAACGGTTATTTCAATATTACAAAACAGACACTCCAATTTTATTTATATGTATAGATATTTGCAGTTGTTTATTGTAATGTAGTTATCTGCATTACTAATTAAAATAACTATGTAAAACATATTTTTACTTAAAAGAATTTATTGGAAAATTACCATTGGCATCCGTTATACCTGAATTTGCAAGTTTGTATGATACATCAATGTTGTAAGGTTTGTAAAGTGCAATGTTTATCGTATTCTATTATATTGCAATTGCACTATTATTAAAAGCATGCAAAGAAAATACAGCGACTTTAGCTGTTATATGGGACCAACGTGGGAGTATGTCATATCCTATCATTTTCAAAAAACATAACATCGGCGAAGACATCGCATGTACAGAGAAAAATTACACAAGAACTTGAATCTCCTTTGTATTGAAGGCGCGTAAAGACCAATATTCGATCGATGAGAATAATATACCTGTTAATTTTGGCTGTATCTACTGGAATGTATCTATAACACGAAACAAACATCACATCTGGCATCGGTACGGCTATAAATCGCTAAAAAATAACTTATAACTGTTTGCGCAGTGAGGCGAGCGGCGCGGGTGGCGGGGCGGGCAGCGGTGGGCTGCTGGCCATGAACGCCACCCAGGTGCAATGCGAGCCCCATGACCCGGTCGTGCTCATTAAATGTAAGTACTACAAGTTCTCTATACAGACCAGGCAGGGTCAATTCGAAATCATTAGCAACCGTTTAAGGTACTCTACCAGCGAAACTAAAGACTTTCCTAAAGAAACAAAGGGTTTTAAAAAGGATATAAAATGTAGAGCTTCCCGTGGCATATTATATGCACGCTGCACATAGCGCATCCAGCTTTCAAGTTATTCTATTTTTTTTTACAAATATTGACCAGATTTACTGCTTGTAAAAAAAAAGATGCTCGCATTTTTGATTTCATCCTGTTGATGATATTTTTCATCAGACTTCATCAACTGTTTATTCGCTATAAAAGTCTATTAAAATATATCTAAAAATCAACATTTGACTAAATCGAATAATATCTTTGACTCACACATATAGATAAAGAACAATTATAGTCGCAATTCTATAAGTGCATTGCGTATTAATTTTAGTCCCTTAAATAGGCTTGTCACGGCTAACTAAATCTCGATTCCGAATTCTCAGATATATTATAATTAAAAATAATTTAAGCGATTGGCAAAATTACATTATACTCGTAAAATTATTTAGAAGAGAGTCTGCTATGTTGTTAATATTTTTTTTTTTTTATAATATTAGGATAAATAGATGACGCGCTCTTAGTTATCGTATAAATTGAGGCATTAATTTCCATTAAATACACTCTGCCAAATTGAAACATTCTATAAATCTGAAATTAGTAAAATATTTATAAGTAATATGAGGATTGTCTTTGAAATTTGTGTCTTCCTTTATCATACGTACAGCCAAGGAGCAGAATCCTCTCCCTGCTTATGTTTTTCTAAACATAATCTGCACAATAGATATAGATCACATCGTCACTTTTCATCAGGTGAGATCGTGATCAATCCCCACGATTAGAAAAACCCGTCAATAGTAAAAAACGATTTATTAATATTTTTATCACCGGTTGTTTAATATTTTACACTATAATATAATATATAGAATCCGAATTAAAATTATGATTAAATAAAAATATTCGTTATTAAAATATGCTTCTAAAAGAAAGAAACTCAAATAAAATTGAAATACTACTACTACCATACTATGACCAAATAACATATACTAACGAAATTGAAATTAATAAATGACTTCAATGCGAAGACAGGATCGAAGACTTTTGTCATGGAAATCCATGATTATTCTGACTAGAAATGAAAGTGAATGTTTAAGTTAGATAGCGACTATTAAGTAATCTCTGATATATCTGATTATAAAAACGAATATATATTATCTATAATGAATATCTGTAGCTAAATAGTTCTAAATTAAAACGAAAAGGAAATGGATTTTGCTAATCGTCATAAAAATTTTACATTACCATAAGCAACATATCGAATAAATATAAGTAGCTTAAAATTATATTTTTTATAATATTGAGAGAAAATATAATGCAATTAATATGTTTATTAAACCTCCAACTATAAAAAAATACACTCGTACTCTCAGTGCAGGTGACTGATGATGATAACTCTCTCAAGAGAAAGTGGCAATGAATAGCATTCATATCCTCTGTAGCCATCAACTATTTACAAATTTAAAGGGTTCCCAAATAAAGTTCATGTTTTTCCTTTTTTTTTTTTACAACCATGATTTGGTATTGCCAGTCATCTGTAAACTATACAATAGATAAAGCAAATAACATATTTTTATCACTATTAAATAATCTATTACCGCCCACAATGTAAAGGCCGTTTCGCGAAATGCAATCACCATAGTTCGTAGTTATCGCAACATGGGTGCCGTCGATGAGTAACGTTTAGCCATAACAGTCGACCAAATTAATGAAAGCAACATGTGGCACTACCTCTGCAATGTGCTTGTATATTTTTGGACTCGGCTTGATTACGGCGCCGTTTGCTGGCACGTTTGTTCGCGCGTAATCTCTCTGTTACGAACGTGTAGTAATCTATATTTTGTTGTTCATATTTGCAATCAAAACAAGACTACATTGTATTATACTTTCAGAACTTTCTCTCTCTATACGTGTTGATATCAGATTATCATAACAACCCACTAACAGCCCACTACTGGTCACGAGTTTCTCATAAGAAGAGCATATTATTGCCTACTATTACCATGATGGATATGGGGATTATAATATCCTTGACATATCTGTCAAATTAATTTTAAATTATACATTACTAATGTAACTTATGTATATAAGATACTAACGACCTGCCCCGCCTTTGCACAGATGCAATGTAGAAACAATGTGTCAGTTATTAATAATATTATTATTGTATCCGTCCAAATAACTTTTCAAACTCTACACAATTTGTATAATTTTTTAAACATTAAAATGATTATAGAAAGCTGTCTGTATAATATAATATTAATTGCACATATCTTTTTCAAACTCTTGAATCGTCCTGTCTATTGATGAAGACTGCATTAAAATCTGTTGCGTAGTTTAAAAGATTTATCCGTACAGACAGTAAGAAGCGGCTTTGTTTTATACTATATAGAAATACTATAAAGAACCACAGTGCAATGGCAATATTATTTTATAATGAGTTATTAAGTGTATCGTGTCAGTACTATGACACTAACGCTCTGAAAACGACCATATTATTTTCTTATCATTAGTATTTTTTCGCGTTAATTTCTGGTATACAGTGGGATAAATAAATTCGCTTCGTTCAAACTAGAACAAACTATATCTATATACAAGATAAATGCATCAAAATCACTTATCAGTGTCATTTGTCGATGGATATCTATACCTAGTTGATCAGTACAAAGTTTGTACACGGTAACGAAACTCGTGTTTGGTCACGCAAGAACATAGGTTCTGCACTCGCCATTTCTAGAAATAGCGACAATTGTGTTTATTTCCGTCACCTAATGTTCCCCCGTTGCGTTGACGCTCTCAATTGATGCGGGAGCCATGTGTACAATTTAGCTTTGTTTGCAGCTAACTATAATAATTATCCGCTGGACTAAAGCCAGTGTTGGTATTAATTTTTCTGACGTGGCTACTGTATAGGCTCAGCAATTGTTACAGTCACCAATTATGTTAATCCTTGGGTTAGTTTTGAGCGGTATGTGCGGTGTAGTGCACGCGAACGATGCATCTCCAAATTCATGTCGGTAGTGTGAAAAGATTTCGTTGTTTTTGTGCTTGTGACAGTGGCGTGATACAATGCAGTTTACATTGGTAATCGTCGTAAACAAAGTTAAGCTATGTCCGGTTATCGAGGAGCCCGTCAAATCTTTAGGTAAATAAAACAATTTGCGGTAATACGTAACTTAGAGAAATTTGTTGGTATTGTAAAAGTGACAACCGAATATTGAAAAAATGCGTGGACCTATATTCAATAATAACGATGTATAGGCGATGATAATGATTTAATTGTTATTTGAGTTATAATGTAATATATTTTTTTTAAGTGATTACTTTATAAGTAAAGTAAAACATATATATATATATATATATATATATATATATATATATATATATATATATATATATATATAGCAAATATGTGTACTGGTTATATAAGATAAAATAGATTACTTATCTGAATTCTTAAAAAGATGTACTACCGATAAAAAATGAAACATTGTGTCAAATTCAATCGTTAAAATGAGAATTATATTTCCAGTCAATCAATCAATCATATGTGCTATGTATATACATAAGAAAAAATTTTAAAATACCGAAATTATATCTTATACTTTATAATCTATAAAATAAAACTTGGTAAAAAAAACTAACCAAATTTATTTAAAATTATCACAAAAATACTAAATGAAGTTAGTAACAAGTTAAAACAGTCAAGATTGTTATCTGCATTATTCTAGTAGGTAGTAAGTAGTATGCCAATTTATGAATTCTGTACCAGCTTTTGTATTGTGTAATACCATAATCGGTAGTAGCTGAATTACAAGTAGGTGCCTAATAAATTTAGACGAACTCATAACATTAATTTAATAGCAAACAACTGAAAACATTACACGAGTTGGTAGGTTGGGACCGCCGCCGGTCTCTTGTGTGGCAAGAGCCATCGAAACAATATTGTAAGTGACATTCTTAACCATCTGAATAAACGTAATTGAACAATTTCTATCAACCCATTGCCCTTATCTACTAGCTCGCAGTCGGACAAATTCGATGCCACAATTGGCCGCAGCTGCTAATCATTGTTAAGAGACCGTAGATTCAATATAGCCAACTAGGCCACTTAGGTTGTAAATTATGGCATATTCCTAATTTAATATAGTATAGTGCACTTCACAATATTTTATGAATTTATTATATTTATTTAAAATAAATAAATTAATACCACAATAAATATTTAACGCACAATCAATATTTCGCAGGAAACTTGTATTCAAACAGTCATTATACCTACCCTGACTTGTACGCAACTCATCTAAAACCTCATATTATATTAGTCAGTTTATTGGTAATACTTTACTCTAATTGACGTCAACAGAGTATTTTCCGAAGCATAGAAAAGGGACATAATCGCACAATGAGCCCACATATTCCTGCACACAACTCTTCAAGATTTGTGTCAAGCACATAATACCCTATACATGTTCGATTGTTCGCTCGTAACGGCCTATTTGCTGCATTCTTATCTGAAACTTGTAATATCGCAGCATGAATCATAACATCTAGGCGATTGAAACAATGAGTGTATGAGTGACGGGGAGCGACTGGAGCCGGCGGCCTCAGATCTCGTCTCGCTGCGATACCGAGATGGTTTGATACTGACCGACCATAAACCGATTCTTGTTATGGACCTGCCATTTCACTATTTATATTTACCTGTAGATACATTAGGTTAGTGTACCATCTTACGAGGTTATCGGTTCTGAACTGTAACGGTAATAATTTCTTAGATATCTGTGGTATATTGCTATCTGCGACATCAAAAGTAGTCGTGTCCCTTGTGAGTTTACCGCGCAAAAAGATAAAAGCTGCAGACTGCATGACCGCCCATATTCGCGGTAAAGTTATCAAGTCCGAGAATGTTATCTCTCTGCCGATATAATATGATTTATGTTTAGTTAGCTTCGCTATCTAGAGTAGTGAAAGGGAGGTCAGCAGAGTGTTCAGGATGTGTACATCTTAATTCTTCTCGGAGCAGATAACATGCTCAGACATAGGGTTACGGTTCGTGACTTATTTCATCACCAACCAATATACACTACAATATCTCTATAAGAATTATATTAATAGTACTTCAATATGTAGATACATAATATAATAATTACTTAACATATAAATGTAAATTATATTTAAGTTCCCATCCCCTATTTACACTGTATTTAGCATAGTAACTTTACAAAATAGATAGTATGTATCTATTTAACAACTATCCAATTTATTTCTTAATAGGTAAATAATACAGCAATTAGCATCTGTGCAAATACTCCTAAAGACATTAAAGCATCTACAAGTAGGGTCGTCAACCCTGATCAGTTGTTTTCTAGCCCCGCAAGCAGCGGCATCAAAGTACTTTGTACAATCAACAACCTCATTACTTTAGAGCCATTGGCTCATTGAGAACTTCAGATATATTAAGTTAGTTGGTGATCAAACATTGTACTGTCAACACGTGATCGCGTGGGTCATAAGCCATTTATAAGTGATCAATTTGAATAAAACCCTGAGAATTATGTTGTTGAGTGTACAAATGGTGTAAATAAGTGTCGGTTAATAATATTCTCAATGTTTAAAGTGTTGTGTTGTGTAGAAAGATGATAATGTAATGCTCTGGACGTTACAATAAAACTCATTACATAAGACCGAAAATATAATACAAGTCATGGAGAGAATTCAATGTGAGGCCCGCCAAGATAGTAATACAGTGAAACGTGTTAAAAAATTTGATAAAATAACTAAAATTAAACACAAGCTGATAAAGAAACATAAATTATGTAGGTAATTGTACATTTTCTGACGGTTTCACTTTGTGCCCCTCATTATTCGCCGGATTGTTAATTAATTTTATGTACATATTTAATAATAATATATAAAATTTATAAATGTGTTTAAGTTTAAATTATATTATTATTAATCTTGTAACAACGTGGTTACTAACTTGGTCGACTAATCGCCTAACCACCCACGATCATTGTTTCAAGGTCTCAATCACTTGTTATATTAGACGCCTTAATTAAATTCATCAAAACAATTTAAATTCTCCAAATATATTTATTTGCGTGCTTTGTTCATTCCTTGCAATCCCGAAATACACTTCGATGTGTCACGTGTTTATTTAGCATGTGTTCATTTTTAGTGGTTTTATAATTAACATTTTAAATGCGTCCTTAAAAAGGAACGAAATACCGACTATAAACAGGCGTTGAAGAAAGATTTTCAAAGTAATTATTGGATATTTAAAGACAAATCAAACAGTTGTAACTCGACGATTTATATAATATTCAAATTGTAAACGTTTCGTCGTATAATAGCGCCTTTCTACATTTTTTAAAATATAAACTACATATACATAAATGCAGTAGAACACCATAATGATTTAGAAATTACGAATAAAGGAATAATAAATGCGTATTTTATTTATTCTGTTCTATAACAATCACTATTTAACCTTGTTTTTTTTTAATATACCATTAATATAACAGTTTAGATATAACAATGACTACACTAGAAACTGTATCTACTCGTATATAAAAACTAAATGTATTGCTCAAAAGGATTGTTTTTTACTTATTTATTTTTATAACAGAATACACAACTAAAATTATTCCAATTTTACCACGTTATTTTCTTTTAATATCGATTTTTATTTATTTATTCTTTCGTGATCACTTTACAAAAAATAGTTCTGACGTTATTAAAAATAATATATCCGTTTTCAGATGAACACCGAACGGCAGGCGGGAGCTGGGAAGAACCGGTGAGCGCAGTGCGGAATACACCTCTCAGACGTTCACAGAGGCTCAACTCCACCCTGGATTCCAGGTAACTCCATAGCTTTAAAAAAAGTATACACTCACAACTGTAACCCTATTAGGTACCAGGTACCTATAACATATTCAATTTTTTTTTTCTAATGATTCCAAAGTAAAATAATAATTTCGCATGCATTACCTATCAACTATTATCACTTACTGGCACCCAGAGCTCCCTAATTTAGATATTTTACTACAAATTATATTTAATTATAAAACAATCAGCAAAATCCACAAGACTCGAAAGAATCGATTCAGCGCTATCTAGTATTTCTTGTCTAATTTTGTTTAATGACCAGCCATATTATTAAGTTGTTATAATGACTATACAAACCAATTATTACTATAACGATTTGTTTATTCTTTCGCATATATTATCATTAAACTTATAATGGAATATTTACCATATTTACGAGTGTATTTACTTTTATTTCCTGTATTTAGCCCATTTGTATGCAATGATCAAGACGTCATACTTTGCTCTGTCTCTACGCGGTCATATTATATATAATGCAAAATTATTCTTTCATCTAAATTATCTTCGCTAATTATGTACCGATAATTACTGGATTATCATCGTATGGTCTCGGCATAGAATGCTCATCCCTTGCTTTCCCGTGGGTGTTAAACAAGCAAATTTAATGGCCGAAGCATGGACAATAGCGTCCCTCTTAAAACATCACAAAAGCTTAACTGCGGTTGCCAACCCGCCTACCAAGTGTGACAACTACTGGCAAAACCACCCTTATGTTCACCCTTATGGCCTATGTTCAGCAGTAGACAGCTAACGGCCGATGATTGTTTCAATTGAAATAGCTGATTTGTTTTTTTCTTTTTTTTTTTTTTTGCTGTACGATCTTAATAAGTAATAAAAGTTCGAAGATCTACACGAGGTCATTGATACTTGTGTTTTTGGTCAAGCGAGCATTACATGCAACCGCAAATAACCGTTGAGTAAATTTAAACATGTCTTGTAAACGTAACTTTAATATTATGTTCTCATAAAGTTAATAAGTACCTGTTTATTCTTGGGAAATAAATATTATTTATTGCCTAAGACCCATTTCCCAATCATCTCAATAATTGTACTTTTACCAGTCTCTTTATTTGTCAAATATCTTTTGTTATCAAATGTAAAACTTTTCTTTAATATTTTAGTAAGAACACTATCTAATTAGTTTACTAACGATTACTTAAGTAGCGTAATATAAATACAAAATAAATGTACTAGAAACGAACTAAATAAATAACGACCGGTTTAAAACGGAGGGAGCGTTTCTTACGTCAGTTCTAACTATGATTGATGTAAAGCCAAAATTAGAACCAATTCTCGTATCTAGAGGGGAAGTTTTCAAATTGTTACATATTTAACTGAATTCTTCATAACTAATGTGTACCGTAATACCTATCTATTAAAATATGCCATAGAGCTACTTGCACGTATTATTTTTATAGTTCAGACTCGCATATGAATAAAATCACTCACAAATATTTTGTCATACAATCAGCCCGTATAATATTTTAGAAATACCCAACTTATAGCTATATAAATTCGCAGGTAAAAGCTAGTATAAAATATATATTAGCTTTTACCCGCGAATTTGTCCGCGTAACTCGTATATGTTTACTGACCCGGATAAAAAGTAACCTATGTCCTTCTCCATCCTATATACGAGTAGTACTTGTATAGAAATTGTGAATTCATAGTGAATGGTAATTTTTGTATTTAATGTTTTAATAAAATTTAAATCATAAAATATACAGAAAACGATTTAACTCGCTACGATTCACTCAATACGATTTAAATTGACGAACCCTTTCTCAATTTTAAATAGAAATGAGTATATATGTCTATGGGATGTGCAGCAGAGTCCCTCTTAAAACATCACAAAAAGCTAATTGCTGTGCCAAGCATGGCAACTACTGGTACAACCCAAACATGAGGGAGGCTTATGTTCAGCTGATATGATGATATGTCTATATATACAATCTGCCAGGCAGGGTAACAATAATAGTATACTGATAATCACCTCCTCCACATTCCATTCATTATTAAGTCTTTCATTGTATCGATATATTTTTAAACTTAAAGAATTACTTTTATTTGTTACCTTTTATCCGCGACTACATCTGCGCGACGAAATATGCTTACCGATCAAAATAAAAAGTAGCATATAGCCTTCTCCATTACATGTATTACGTATACTATACCAAATTTTATAGTAACTGGTTAAACCGTTAAAACGCTATACGGTAACAAACAAACTCACCTTCACATTTATAATATTAGTGAGGCTTTATAATTTTTGATCGACATTTCAGATATTTATCTTAGTTTTCGCGACTATAGTTTCAGTCTTGATAAGAGTCCTCTGTCATGAACAAGTCACTTAAAATTACAACACTTTCCATAAATTTATCAATTGTTATCTATTAAAAATACAGTGAAATTTTCAAAGAGAAACGTAAATAACTTTAACAATTGAATGTATAAAATGCACAACATATTATATCTGTATTATTATGATACCTCATATTAATATTAGCTAATAATTAAATAGTGGAGAGATATATTGACAGATGGCAAATTATGCGACTTCCTCGAGTAGTGTGGTCCTGTCGCGCCAAACAATTAGCGGTGGCCGCGCCGGCAATTAACACGAATTTCCTGTTGAAGCGCGCCCAGCAGAGGGCACTGCCACCAGACGATCATTCATGTCTTAACATTCAATACCTACCGTCGGATTTTCTCAGTAAACTGACACAGGTATAGTTCGAACTGGTTCGTTAAGCAAAAGATGCTGGCAATCTATTACATAATGATCAAAAACTTTAACATTGTTTTTAGCACTACTCCAGAACTTATTGCCATCTACAAGTTTGTTGTATCTAGTAATAGCTAGTGTCTTTATTTAATAATAAACTTTATTATAAAACATGATTTAAACCCGATCTCGTTAATTACAACGTGATGATTAACATAATTAGACTTATTGGAATTTTAAAAGAATATTTATAATAGCCGGCGGAAATGAAACAAATTATGCGGAATTTCTCCTCGGTTCGTCCTTCACTCGAGAAAGCATTTTAATCAAGTAGACTAGACATGATTGATTAATCATGTTGATGTAATTTTACACGATTACGAACGAATGCATATGTCAATGTCATATTTTTTGGAAAGTATGAATTGATAAATTCCCAATTAATTTATTCTCGATCACAAGCTAATTATCAGAATGAGATGAATGGTCGATTTTGGTCTCTGTTATTAATGAATGAATATATAGCCCACATTTGAAGATATCATTATTCGAACGTATTGACTTTTAGTATTACAGATTACATAAAATATGTCAAGGTTCTAGCTGTTGTCGATTTGCATACGCACACACTTCTGTTAATGATAAATATACAGTGTTGTTCGGCTACACGGGCCCCTATTGTCTGTACTACATAACTATCTGATTTACAACTTTGCTTTATTATCATGACTTAAATGCTAACATTGATTGCTCAATCATTGAGTACCCGAAGTTGTACCATACGGAAATGTGGTGTTAGTGTATAGTAATGCCAATCTGGTTCTTTTAAACCACTTTGTAATGTACCTAATCTAAAAAGCACAATTTCGTAAATACTTTAAATACTGCACCTTATAAGCTGCTAGTTTTGTATTTCTATGTGAAAAACATTCTTTTGTTTAAGGTGATGGCATTACAGATGCATTTTTGACTTCATAGGTTAAATTGTAGCTTTTTTTCATTAATTTAATTAATGTGAACTTAACTAGATCACCCCTCTCGGTTTTACACGAGTAACGTTAAGAGCACACACCCTCATGTGTCCACACGGAATTCACCCTTATTATCGAAGTAAGCTTTGAAGTCCGCGCGATGTAAGTTTTAAATTACTTCGTAAACTAAACATTCAAGTAGAAAAGTTTTACGAAAATAATATTTTGTCTTCATTTAATGTTTATGAGTTTTTATTATGAATTGATAAGGTTTAAGATTTTTAACAACTTTCAAAGGGACCGCATTCTTTCGAAACTTTTTTAAAAGTCTTAATAATTAAATTTCGTTCAATCTTTTTTTTTTATATTACGTGATTACATCACCAGTTGTGACACAATTATGATAACATTTTCTTCAAATTTCAATACGAACAACAGTTTTTTTATAGAAATAGGTCAAACCCTGTTTATTATGCCATTTGTGAAGAAGTGTTTTGCTTGTCAAATAGATTGAAATAAAGAAGATAAGATGTTATCGTGTGTCGAAACTTATGAAATATTGATAAGAATTCAGTTCGAGGTCTTACTAGAAGTAGAATAGACTACTACTATTCTATATATATGTACATTTGTCAAGCCGTGAAAAAGTTTCTTCTTACTATCTTATTCTGTTACGTTGTCAGTGGTAACTGAACCTATTTTAATTAAATTTGGTAGATGAATAGCTAGAAGCTCAAGGTCGACTGTTTATCATATAAATTATACCCGGCCAAAGTCACGAGTAACATAATCTTCTAATTGGTAATGCTGCCCTTAATAACCCAATCACATCCGTCCTGTTCCCTGTTAAAATGTAAAGGTCATCGGACGCACATCATGACGTATTATCATCGACGGTGTCACGTCTTAGCATTAATATCCAACACAGGACACTTTTGACATATCACGAGGTTAAAAATAAAATTTTACGACTTTTAAGTACTTTTTTAAGTAACAAACGAGGGAATTTAATTCAAAGAAATTCGTTACCTCTCGCCATTTGGGGAGATGTAGAAAAGCTTTTGCCCAACAATAATGGGATTCCAGTCCAATTTTTCAAGTTTACATCTTCTAAAGTGGTTTTGCACGTAACTTCAAAATAAAATATAAACTAAATATAATAGAATTATATCACTGATCACATTGAAGGCGGCCTAGAAACTCGATACTAAAAAGTGCCTTTTACACTGTTAATAATTTTCCGTGCCAGGAAAAAACTCGCTGTATCAACTATGTCTGACTTTCCTTAGGTATATTATAGGCCTCTAGTTTCTAAACGAAACAAGATTAGGTTGAAATTCACATGTAATGTAAATTTACAGAGCCCATAAACGGAGCGGAGTAATAAAAGATTCATGATCATGCAATTTAAGACTGATGTCTTGTCGGGGCAACTGATTTATGCGACTTCCTCTAATGGGTTCTTATCTAATAAAAGATTGCATATTCCTGTGTGGCATAGTACAATTTAAAAAAAGCATTTTAAAGTGTATTATCCAATGTAAAGGCAAAGTAGATCACCTCTTAATCTAAACTATCTATATTGTATAAAATAGTTGCTAACAATGTGAAATGGATATCTTTAACCTTTTTTTATGAAACGCGATTCATTAAAACTGATTGTTTTGTCATTGGCTACAGTTTTTATTTTTCTAATTGGGGTCAAATGCCCATTAGCTTTACAACCAATGATGAACACACGTACATTTATGGGAAATTGCTCTTTTACGATATAAATTACGGCAACAACAAATAGCTCGTATTGTTATTGCATGGGGAATCGTATTCAAGTATATCTCGTATCCGTTTTGTTCCAATTTATGACTTTGATGGTTTTCAGTTAGAATTGTTTAGTCTCCAACAGTTAACTGTTTATATAAACGTTTTTCCCCCTGCACAGAAGAAGAATATTAATAGGTTATAATGGTATAGTATTTTTTTTCCAAAATTCTCCAAAATGTCCAAAATCTCAGGTGTAGTTGCTTGAGCACGGCCCGCAGTATTTTCTGTGATAACTATGATGTTATTTTTGTCTACTTAATGGAGTAACAATTTAATAAGTAATATATACATTTACTAACTAAAATAGTTATAATTTTTTACCAATTGATTTCCCATTTTTAATTGTATTCTGATTCTATGGCATTACCGTTGAAAAAGGACTATTACAGTCCACTTCGTATGAAATGAAACTTATTTACATTAAACAGTTATATAAAATATTGTGTCGATTTTGATAGCTATTTAATTATCTTGCAAGTCATATAAGCATGCAAATGTTCTCTGCGCATATTCCTCTCAAATATTTATAAACTATTATCGTTTTAAATAATACCATGTATGTTCATTTTAGAATCATAAATGGAAATTGTTACTAGGTGTGTACCTAAGTAAATCAATAGCTTCACAAATTGATAAATTAATTTTGCTGTGTTCGTGTATATTTATAAAGCTAACTATCCCACTTATAGTTACTTTGCAAGCGAACAAATTAATCAACGATGTTGGTTTCAAACTGTCATATAGCACAAACTTCTCGTAATTAATGTGGCATTGGAACTAGTTATTTCGTCGCTCTGAAATCTATTGCGTACAGTATTTAATTAAATAATTAATTGGACTAGAAAGTTTCACATAGAGACAGCTGCAAGCATCTGTTCCTAAAAACATAAGAGAGGTGGTACTATTAATCTATATGCCTTGTTGTTACTAAAAATATTTATTTGTAGCCAACCCCCTCTCGCGTTAATTTTTCCAAAGATATCGTATTATATTTTCAGAAGAATTTAGTATCATTTACGTTGATAAGTTTGTATGGATATCTAATTTTCATAAACTGTCTTCTAAAAGTGTTATATTTGCATTACAAACAATGTAAACGTAATTGTAACATAAACTTTGTACAAATCACTAAAATTACTTAATAATATAATTTGATACTATATATAATTTGACAATAAACATTAATTACAAACAAACTTCTTGTCAAATACATATAAATTACATGTTTGACCAACAGTGTTTGACTATTTAAACTAGGGAGTCCGTAAGACGGCAAAACCAAACCAGTTGAGTCGACAAAACTCGACCACCAACAATAAAATGTGTCACACATTAATCTCCAGTGGTAATCCTTACCTAAGTCCAGCTTACTATATGATTATTTTCAGTGTAATCAAAGCGGAAATAATGTCTTTAGTGCAGGGCTTGCACCGTCTAAGATAGCTTGCTTAGGTGACCGCTCTGTACTTATCTCTGCACTATCTTATCTGTTAACACTTTAATGCAATGTTATGGTTATAAATGACACAAGTAGATAAGCTAGACAGGCAAAGATATAGCATCACCGTTATACTTCACAGCCGATTATGATAACATAATCAACAGAAGCTGCTTGTTCTATATGCACTTTCCAGAAATGTTATTATGGTATTCATCACATACAGACAAAAATATGGTCGAATTGAGAACTATTTTATTTTCAAGGTACACTGGTGTTTTTATTATTGGTTAATACCAATAATAAACAGTTTTCACCACATAAATTCACATGGTTTCTATTGTCGTATTAATAATGTCATCAAAACAACAAAAAATTCAGACTTGCATCCCAAATTCGAAATTTCATGTATGAATTTATATACCTGCACTACTAAATATTCGTGTGTTGCAATTCCTGAAAATTAAGAAGTTAAACTGTACGTTCAGTAATTTCATCACATTTGACAAAAAATACGGATAAGATAGAAATACTAATACATGTTTTGTCTCTCTTCAATAAACCAATCTATTCGTATAATTTCACATGAATATGACTATTTATTACACTCTGTATATCAACCAATCCTGTCTAAATCAAGACAAATAAATCTGAGCTTATCATGCAAATCGAAGCTACATATGGCAATATAGCAATGTTTAAATCCAGCAATTTATAATTTAAGTAAAGGTCTTTACATCAACGCAATGTTTTTGCGTTCATGGAGTGATTACAGACTGACTTGTTGCTAAACTGAGAAGATACACTTAATTGGCATAATCGCTATTAGTGATCGAAGAGCTGACCTCAGGGTACGAGTCAAACGAGCTCAGCTTGACCCCCAGATCAAAGTGGGAACCTCGCTCACGTATCCATCAGCATGTAAACAAAGGAATATCTGAATAATCAAGTGCCTGTTAACAAAGAACATTTTTTACTATATAATACGAAATAATTATACAAGATTGTAAACCTCCGTCCGCTTATATAAGTTACGCTTTGTATGTACAATAATTGTATGGCATAAGTCATGCATAAATGCATTTTCAATGGAACATTGTGTCATTTTCCTAATACAACTATGGATTCTGCTAATACAAAGCCAAATGACGTCCAACTACAACAATTTGAAATGTTTCCTTATAAAGCTAATATAAAAAATTCATAAATCCTGTAGGAAATCTAAATTTATACAACACTTTGTTTTTTTTAATTCAAATATTGAAATTAATAAATTAGTACGTTCTAAACATTTATCTATGACAAAAAAGGTTATTTGATTGAAATAATTCTATTATTTTGTTTAATTCCACTACCATTAATATGTGTGCAACTGCCAACAAACGAAGATTGACCACTATTATGGATTTTTTAAATGGGTGATAATTAAATGGTAACCCCGCCTGCGCTAACGGTATACGCTGGCAGAGCACCAGCAAGAACATTGCTAGCAATGAGGCTGTTAGTCCTTATCGCTAACAATTCCTTTCCCCCCACTATTATGGAATTGAGGACACAAAAAACCTTTAATCAATCATAAAATGTATAGCGTAGAGATATGTTTAAAACAGTAAAAAAATTAAAACAACTTTTCATTACTAGCTTCATTTCTTACTACTCGCGACTTCATCCGCGTAATCGTAATATGGTTATTGACCGGGATAAAAAGTAGCCTATATTTTTCTTCATCTGATATAATACGTGTATACCAAATTTCACTGTGATTAATTAAGCCATTAAGGCGCTATAAGGTAACAAATAAACAAACTTACTTTCACATTTATAGTATTAGTAAGGATGAGAAAGTATCAGTTATGAATTGGCTAAAAAGTCTCACGCCATACAATTTTTAAACATTAAAAATTGCCAAAACATTTAGCTAACACCTGCAGCATACTACGTCATGCAAAATATAAGCACCGTATCAGATGCTTTAATAAAATTGCATTACACAAATGATTTCGCTGTATGCTTACCACAAAAACAATAATCCATCATCCGTGATATTACAAAATACGTTTTAATATAGTCGTATTCCCAACTCAAGTGTACGCAACTACGTGGTACGTACGGTGTTCATTGATGATGTAACCTACAGGAATCATCAAGAATTTTTACTATTTTGTCAAATTAATTGCTCTATTGTCATTTAATTGCCAATAGTCAATCAATCAACATCACTCTTGGTTCAATATGGATTGTATTGTTTAAACATCTTATACCTTCTATCTCTATATAACTACATACAATATTTACATTAATTCGAAATAAATGTATTATTTCCTATATCAAAAATATCTGCATATTTTATGGAATGTTATCTAATCACTAACATAACGTTTAACTCATATCAATAACTCAAAACTATTAAACGAATAGTTGTTATCTAACAGCTCCAGTTTATAGTTTCAACCAATTAATTATTGGGTTGTTTTCTCTCTTTAATTGAACTTCTTCCGCATCTAGCTTAATTGCTTACATCCTATCATTCGCACAGTCAATTTAGTATCATAATATACTTACAATTACGCATCATCGTTTGCCTGTATATTAACTTGATCTGAATCGTTTATAATTGCATTCTCAAGTTTCTATCAATCCTTGTATTGCAATATTCTAAACAGTTTTCTTCGCGCTTAATTCACCAACAAATTTTGCTGTTTAAATTTTGGATCTAATTTATTTTATGTACATGATCTAATTCATTATTATGGTAAATCGTTACTGCTTTTCTTCAGATAGTTTCTGTTTCTATTAGCTAGTTCCTCAGAAAAAAAAAATTAAATAAAAAATATTTTTGTTGCAGGAGCAGTGGTCAATTGCGCAACACGCTTAGTCGAGCGCGAGAGCTATGCGAACGGTGGAGGAGTGGCGTTGCGACGCCGGCACCCCCAGCACCGCCGCCCGACGACGAAGGAGGGGGGAGGCTAGCCCGCTGGTTTAGTATGCGTCGAGGATCCACACACCAGTATGACATGCACTCGCATGAATCCGACAAGATGCCCAAGTTGCCAGCGGTGAGTTCATAAGGCACTAATAACTTTTGATCAAGTTTAATTCCAATTAGGATCCCACAAGATTCTTTCAAAAAATTGCTTCAAGTCCTTCAATTTGTCATGCTAAACCAAATATACATTCAAATTATTAATGTACTAAAAAATCACAAACTATAAACAACGTTTATCGTTAGACTAAACAAATGATGGATGCATTTGTAAACCTGAAACATTTGTAAAAATAGAACTCTAAGTTGATCACGTTTCTGTACGACAATAACTTTGAACACCCCCTAATGGAATGTATCCGTATAGTATATTTAGATCTGTAATGTTAGTTGACATTGAAGATGATAGGTTGATAAATTGTAGGGTCGTGTCTTGTAAACAAAATATTAGACGATTCTGATTCTTTTTATAATTTACACTAACACAGTATGATGCCGTCCGATTTAATCGTCACGATATGTTATTAAGTAGTACAGTATATCATGCAATTACATGGCTTTTTTTCTATACTCTTTAACGACATCGTCACAGAATGTTGAAAACGTCTCTATCATGACAGAAAAATTTTACGATATCGCACCGTACGACAATAAATCAAAAATAGCGTCCATTGTAGCGATAGTCGCTACGTAGTTCCTTACCGTGTTACAGTGAAACCGAGAAAGCGTATTAAAACTATAATTTAATAGAAGTCATATATGTTTTTTTTATAAATTTAATCATTTGAATGAAGTTTAATTTTTACCTCCAGTGTCAAACGCCCTTAGACCGTTTAATTCGGACGTTAGAAAATCAATGTGTACACAGTAAAATCTAAACAGTGTACAAATTATTTAAGCTCTTTTGCATAATTCATACGCATATATTTCATGCTTTAAGAATTCAAAATATGTTTTTAAAAGCATAGCTTATATGCTATCACCGAGCCTCATTTAAACTATATCAATGAAACGGTCGTTGTACACTCATAAACAATTGGTCATTGACTCGAAGCTGGACAATTTCTGGAATTAAACGACTCTTTTCATTGCCCTCTATCCTTGTGTTACTTGGTTTATTATACATTTGTTATTAAGTATGGTTCATATGATTCACAATTATATTTTAGATGAATCATGATCGCCCATTGAATAGTCACTCAACAGCACGAATCAGTAGTGCGTCGAACGTAGTATCGCCTTTACTTCGACTTGACGTGGTCCCGGCTTGTTAAACAAATAATCCATTTACAAAAATAAACATATAGTCTGTTGAAATATGTGATTAACGAATCTATTGAGGCAGGTGATACCTATAATGATGTCAGAGTGGTGTCCAGTGCTACCACGCGACCACATCGGATTAATGTATACGATTGTAATGTTTTTTTCTCTTCAGTATATCTTTAGTGAGACGACGTGAATAACGTGTGTTTCGTAAATGTCAAAAGTCAATCTGATGTTAATCCTAGCGTTAGTGATTCTATAATGTTCTGCACGAAGTTCCTTCACGATAAGGCTAATTACACATTGACAAATTTTTACGTAAGTCGTCAGAGTGCTTTTGACGTTTATGTTCGTTTACTTGGATACAGTGTTATGGTGACGCGAACCGGCCTCGTGAATTGTTCCGTCCGGTAATGACGCGTGCACTACGATTTGTACGCACCGACCGGCAACCACGACCACGCCGGGCTATTTTCGATACAATTCACACATGGTTTTAGGTGACGTGATGTGATGTTTTCTATAATCTTTCATAAGCTCATTAGGAGCATGCATTCTCAAATCAACTGTTTTATTTTCAATGTCAGAATTATTGCAATTCACCTAAACATATTGAATAATGCAAATTTTTTAAATTCACAACACGTGTCGTTATTGGACAGTCACGAGAGCGGGACATCGTGTACTAGTGAGGTGCAGTGCCGTGTTACCAAGTGAATGTGATAATTACAGTTGGAGGAAGAGCTTCTCTCGTGCCTGGGCGAGGTGCGGAGTGTTCGGGTGCCACCGCCCTCACTGGGCCCGCCGCCGGACTCACTCTCACCAGTACAACTGCGACGTCGACATGTTGTCGCTGCCATTATACACAGCGAGAACTCCTACGTCGCTACTCTGCAGCGGCTCGTCAACGTTAGTATACCTACCATACTCAACAAATAGAACGTATGCTAGTGAATATAAGATACATAATAGTATAATCTTAGTTGCAGTAAATTTAATGTACTTACAGCCTTGGCTCGTGTAACGGAGTATTTTACCTAACGCAATTACTATTACAATGTGTTATATCATATCCTTCGGTATGTGGCTATGCTTCCACATATTCCGTAATCCGTTTTGCAGTTTCTACAAAACATTCTACATCCTGAATCGGATAATCAAATAAAGGCTCGTTACCATACCAATAGACTAGCAGATGTTAAATAAACATAAGGTTCGCAATGTTTATCGTAAGCAGCAAACACAACAGTAATTATGCGCGTACAATTGTTTCAAATATTTGCTTTGCGCAATTATGGCCAACCGAAATAGGTACATTGTCAACAAGCTCAGCCACTTGCTGACAGCACTAGCTAAAACAGAAACCAGTTTCTATTGCTATCTAAACATCTCAGATCCCCTAGTCACAATGTAATACACGCTGGCATTTCTCATGACTGCGGCGAAATTCGTGATCAGGAAGGAAGTTTAATGGCAATAACCAATTACAAATACAGCGCATAAAGAGGCAGTTGCTATTACGCAATTCATCATGTAGATTGATACTATGTTGGCACTTTTGTTCGTGTTGATCCACTTAAAATTCCGCGCCGAATCCACTTGAATATGAATTTTTTTGAAGTGGAGTTTGAAACTGTGAAACTATTTCATTACTTGGCTGCATTCCATAGTAATCAGTTAATTTTTTACAAAATATTTTTGATCTATATATCATATTTTAACATTATAAAAAAAATGCACAACTTCTGCTGAAAATTCTCACACACGGTCGTACAGAGGTGTGACAGGCTTGACGGTACACCTAATTAAATCGTAAGCTGACAGTTTCAAAACTACTATTTAACAGATGTTGCTGAGTGCTTATTAATGAGATTTGCCGTTCGGAAAGTAGTTTGAGAGTGCCGCAAAATAGTTGCCGAACGCTTTTTATTATTACATAATGTTATCGTGTTTTTTTTTTTATATATAGTAAACTAGAATGAGATCATTACAATAGATAAATATTGTCAGTAATGACCGTTAACCTGTTAGATATTTAAATATATATATATGTTTCTCATTTAAAATTTTAAACAATGTCAAGTTAACGGTCATTGTGATTGTTTAAAAAAGAATTCGGTTATAACTTAACGCACCTATTGTTCTTTTATTCTCAAATTAGGATTCTCAGGATTATTTGAAAATTGAACTGTTTTCTTTTATTGTTAAGCTTCAAATGTGAAATTGTCAGTAAGTTAAGAAAGCTTTTTATGTCAACATAGCGAGACTACTTTCAATATTCATGTTGTTTAATGTTTATAAGTTGTAGCTTTCTTTTCACTAGCATTTTCTGAAATTTATAACTAGGCATCTATCATTGTTATTCTGTGAAACAAAAGTTTGTACGTATGTCACAAATCTGAGCATGTATGTAAATAGGTACCTGTCTGGCCCACTTCTGTATTGTTTCGCCCACAATTCACATGTTACAGATTTGCATATTAGGAAGTGGGGCACTTTGAATAGTTAGTATTTGTATTTGCTAGCTCTACGAGGTCGTCCCTGTTTCATTAAATGGCGCCGACCGTTGATGTGGCGAATTAGTTTTTGTCTCTTCATGTATCGTCTGCATTGTCATACGAATTGGCGACGAGGCCAATAGGCAATTTACTAATATATGCACTATTGTCGTTATTAAACGTCTACACAATTCCAATTAGATTATTTAGAGAAACTGCCTTCAAGTTTAGGCTGTCTTTCATAATATTCAATTTTGTTTTTTCCTTAGTTCTTAAAGGTTTGCAGGAGTCAATAGACTTCTGTTATTCTATTTTTGGATTCATTTACTAATGTAAACGAATTGTACTCATAGCTAGAGTTATATACATCTTGTTTGAAGTCAAATGCACTCTGTTGCAATTTTATGTTATATTTAACGGTTTTATTCAAATGAATTTAAATAAAAAGTAGCTTAAGTATTTGGTTCATCCTATAAATTATGTGACCCAAATTCATTTGTCACATTCGTAATATTAATGGAAGTAGCTAGATGCTCCCACGCCTTCAAGATTCAAGAGTAAGCAACGCTTATCTTATCCTATTCCGTAGAAATTTCTTCAAGACCCTTTCTTTACTTCTTTTCCTCTCTTTTCTTTCTTTTCCTTTAAATAAATATCAAAAAGGTATAAAGGAACCTTTATGGTGCAACTCTGTTCGTCCGGTTCTTTGTCACACCGCTGTATCTCAGCAACTACTAATACCATCGATTTGAAATTTGTTATAGTTTTACATATTGTTGGTCCGCACGTATTGCAATGGAAATAATAGACAAAATATTTTTTTGCTAGGCGATCATAAAGGAATACTCAAAAGTGGTACTTTGCGTATCAATTTTTGGTCCTAAATTAGATGCAAGTTTGACTGCCACTAAGTTTCGAATTGAAGCTCCTACATAAAATATCGAATAAAAGTTATAAGCATTGACAGTAACTACATTAGAGGATCATATTTTAAATAGGCTTAGTACAAGAGGGGATTTGATCAAGAAATAACCGGTAATATCAAGCTAAGTAGTTAAGTGTAACCTGCTTAGTTTTTATACATATAATTTGAAATATTTGTAGTATCTCTCTGTCTGTGATATTTTTTCTCAAATTATATATTGATATGTTCAGTACTTTAACCTCTAACCTACTAAATAAAAGTTTGTAGGACTGTTCGTATATTTGTTACTCGTTAAACTTAAGCGGCTGGACGGATTTGAATGACATTTATTATGCAGATTGATCACATTCTAGATTGGGCCACCAAAGTCGCAGGATACAGCTAGTGTATAAATACACTTCGAATAGTGCCACTAATACCAATACGTTGCAAGATTGTAAGACTAGTAATTACTGTCAGCGCAGATGAAACTCAAAGTGACTGCACAATACGCACTAGCAACATCAAATACTATGTATTGGCTATTGTCATCCTTCACCTAGTTGACCAGTCAACGTTTGATGATCACAGTCATCGATAAACGTGATTACGACGCGCTTAAACGATTCAAGTATCACAAGACTTCACGACCGCCTGTCTAACCGCTAACACTTTACCTATGTTATTTATAGAGTACTAAATCATATATTGCTGTAGGTATTTCGTCATACTTATATGTATACATAACTACCGGTAATAATTCCTCGACATTAAGACGTGTGTCCATTGTATTCAAGTGACAATTTGCGTGACTGTTATTATCTAGATACCGGGAACGTGACATCATGGCGTGTCCTGCATTGACTTAACTCACCGCTATAAGTTCCCAATAATTTAAACCCGAATGGTGATACGAATGTACTACTCTGTAGTATAATATAAAGCATATTCTGTTAAGTAGCAAATAGAAACTGAGTCAAATCTATTTAAATAAAAAAATGTTATAACTTGAATCGAATCGAATAATCTAGATTGTACACAAAGCTTGTCCTATCATATATCACGTTGTTTAGCTTCTCTTAATACAGACTATAAAAATATTTAGTATCCTAAGGCCCAATTCATTACAAAAAAATCGATAATATGGTACATAAAACAATAGACATATGTGTAATATTAACAAGTACTTGATTTTTCAAGCATAAATATTTATATAGTGTTAAAGTGGTTAAGACTACATTGTTTAAATCCATATGGTAGATAAAGCACTATCCATTTTAGCACAAACCGCAACAACAAACAAATGGTTACAATAGTTATTAATTTGCCATTTTTATTTTATCAAGTTTTTATATTTATCAGGAAACTTGTATTTATTTTATATTATTTTTAGTTAGGTACTTATTTTATTTTAAAGCTCATATTTTTAAGGTCCATCAAGTCTCTGTAACGCATATTTACAAAGACTTGGCATATTTACTAAGCAATCTGGTTGTGATTTTTAATTTGATAAATAATAGACACATCGATTCGTTTAGCTGTTCAGAAATTGAGTATACATTATACTCAATTTCTGTCTGCACCTAGTATTATTCATCATTCTTCGACTCTCTCTAGCTCGTAACATACACGTTTTAACTCCATATGCAAATTTTGAAAACATTAAAGCTCTTTCGAACCAAGCTCTAGTATTGAAGTAATTTAGTTTTTTCAAATATGCTAATCCCAAGATATTTGATCTCAAACATTTGATTTCGAAGGTTACTATAATTGGAAATTTTGAAACCCATATGACTTATTTCGTTTGTTTGTTTCTAAATATTTTACAGACTTGCAGAAACAATTTTTCTATTAAAAATTTTGCCAAGATCAAAATTATCATTGTCTAATTACAATTAGATAGAATAAATTGCTTAAATAAACAGAAAATCAAAATCCAAAACACACGCTTTCTCTCTCTACTTTAAAATCTTGTATTGCTTTTGCCTTACTTATTTGTTAACAAACAAACAGAACATATTGAAATAATACAAAAGATATAAAACATAATTATTCCTCGTTTAAAAAATACGCTTATCTTTATTGTCTACTAACCACAGATTAAGTCGCTTGATAATAATACTTAAATTAACATAATATAAAAATAGTGGACACGCGTATTACGAGCAAGGTCCAAACTTAAAATATGTGTATATAAATAAGTAGTTTAAGTATAGTCAGTGCAAACTCTACGTATAACTATTTTAAGAGATGACGTCCGCACTTCGCCTCTAAGTTTGTTTTTATTCCTATCTCATTATCACACTACACTGCGAGTTGAAAAATTAACATTTTAATGTTTTGTGGCCGTTGGTTTCATGTTTTCCTTGCGTCCTTGTCACATATGTTAGAATAATATCTTCAGTGTCTATTTTACTATCTATTTTTTTATCGTTTGTGGAGGTATGACTGATAAAATGTTTACAATCTCAATTGATCACAGTCCTAATAATAATATTCAAATTTTGATTATCAATTTTGGACCCCTATGCAAAGAAAATAAACATATTTTTTCAATTATTTTCATTCCATCATGTGCGGACCAACGACATGTAAAATTATTCGAAATATTAAATCAAAAGCATTAGTAGCTGCTGGAATATAACATTATGACAGATGAACGGACGGACACAGTCGCACCACAAGGGTTCCTTTGTAACTTTTTGGTATGAAACCTTAAAAACAATGAAATTGTATCAAAGTAGTACACTTTAGATCGTTTAGAAATTTCATGGTTAAGTTTATGACGAATAAAACACCACACTTCGTCTATGGACGCGATTTCGATAAAGCATGATTCATCGTATGCACAAAATCAATAGACTCACTGATTTATTCCGCAATTTTGGCAAGCCTTAATACATATAGAAAATCTCAAAACAATTGAAATTCATGTCACGTGATTGTCTTTGTTCTGTGTCGCATATAAAATGCAAAATAATTTGCAATAAAGGAAATTGAATGGTCTTCAAGTTATTTTTTATACGTTCGTTACGCTAAATATATATATATATAATATATATATATATATATATATATATATATATATATATATATATATATATATATATATTTATTTATTTATTTATATATATATATATATATATATATATATATATATATATATATATATATATATATATATATATATATATATACTTTCTATACTAAAAAAAATGCAATAATAAGTTTGTTTGACATTTCTGTGTAAAAGGACTGCATACGTGATAAATTAATTAGAACTCTCTTTAAAATTATATTTTCTCTTCTTGAACATATGTGACCATACTAAGTGCTATAGTTTTGTGTATATGATAAGTGTACATACCACTATCAAAACTATTTCTCTTAGACATTACAGCAGTAGTTTCTTACACACTACCTTAGTTGAAATCAATACTAGGAAAAAACTGCAACGTATGAAAAATATGTACAGCGAACTACATAGTGTAATTTGTAATGTCTGTGGTATGTTTTAACAAGCTTCATCTATGTGACTTTAATCATTTTCCCTTAGAAAATCTCGGTATATAATTAAGATATTTTTTCCTACCAGGACTACAAAAAGCCGCTGGAAGAAAGTAGCCCCGCAATCCTGAACGCTAGCAAAATCCAGACGCTGTTCCACAGACTGCCTGATATTTTACAATGTCATTTGCACTTCCGCACCGCACTTGCCGACTGCGCGCGAACGTGGGACCGCGATGAAAAAATAGGTAATGTATTTTTTTTTTCTATTTTTTATGGAACGGCAACCCAACAAGGAGGGAAGGGATTGTTAGTAATGCGGACTACCAATCCCATTGTTAGCAATACACCCTGTCAAGTCGACCTCATACTGAATTCCAGATGTATTCATCACAGTGTGCTAACTGACCTGCATTTTCATTCTCATTTATGATCCCTCACTGGTGACCTGTCAGCGTATACCGCTAGCGCAGGCGGGGCTACCATTCCATTATCATCCACCCTACCCAACTTATTGAAGATAGCTTATAATAAATAAATGAAAATATGTAGGTATACCTGTTTCAATTTGTTCCTACCAACTTAATTATTAGTGGAATTATTTTAAAGTACCACTTAAAGTCCAGGTTTTCGCCGAAAATAATGACTACAATGTCCGGAAATCTTTCATATTAAATTCGTTTTAAATTACGCATTTAACACATTATCACTGTGTTGCTTATATCAGACTTGTGAATAATGGTGAATTAAAGCACAAGTGTTCACGAAAAGTAGTTTACGTTAAATCAAACAAATATTATTGATAATAAATATCGTTTTGCCCTTCGCCTACCAGGTTTATTTTTCTTATCGTGATAGACTTATCCTATCTATTAAGTTACAAAATTGGATTAAAATCGATTGAGCGGTTTCAGAGTACAAATGTGGTTTTAAAAAGTGCAATGTCTCAAAGTTTACTTCTTTGTCTTATATGTGGAAATTCAGATGAATTCAAATATTATACTAGTAATATATTTGTGTAACCTGCTATGAAGTTTACTTAGCCTTCACCAGCCGCACATTTAAACATACATACACATTGCTCAAACCTTTAAAAAAAATGTTCATTGCGTAATATACATTTTGTGTCATATTATTAAAAACATATTATTCAAAGCCAGTTTCTTTACCCAGGTTATGAAAACAAAATACTTTAAAACGTATAAATATATCTTACAAGGTAATGCATTGCCTCTAAAAATCTTTTTGATACTTTTAAGCGTTAATACTTGCAAATGTATATAGTGATTTCCTGTTTACTTTTTTGTTCAAAATGATCATTCCTCTATTTAGACAAGATTGTATTTATAAGTTTTTCCATGAGACATAGCTCGGAGTTCTTAAAAAAATAGGTAGTTTTTGTTTTCAGTGTCGGCAATGCGCATATAATGCCCCTGGTATTGTAAGCGTTCATAGGCTACCGTAACCGCTTACCATCAAGTGGGTCATATACTTGTTTGCCACCTCAGTGGTATAAAAAAAAAGAAAACAATAATTGTTATCCTTACTTTGATTACAGCTACGAGTAGATTTCATATTATTATAGTAATATAAAATCTACCCGCAGTTTTATTCCACGTATTTACCCGCGATGCTTAAGATAAAAAAAAAAATATTCTATGTATTAATCCAATCCCTCTGTGTACCAAATTTTGTTCAGTTAGCATAACTGAGCAACAAACATCCATACATTTTACATATAAACTAATATTTTAAAGAAGACTTTTTTGTTTGTAACGAATAAACTTAAATATTTAACTGATATTAAAAATTCTTTTACCTATAGAAAGCTACATTATCAACGGATTGCTTCAATTGTATTTAATTAAAAAAAAATAGAGATCTTTTACCTATCTACCCATACGAAGCCGAGGCGGGCCGTTAGTTTAAAATATTAGTATGAAGTAGTAACAAAAGGCTACGAAAATTCATAAAATAGGATGTATCTACATATGAAAATATAAATAAATATAATTAAATATATTATTTTTCCAGGCGAGGTCTTTTTAAACGCATTCTCGAAAGCCGTGGTGTTGGACGTGTATTCAGACTTTATAAACAACTTCTCGGTGGCAATGGAGTTGGCGAAGATGGAGTCCAAACGTAAATCAGCGCTCGCAGACTTCTTCAAGGTGAAGCAGATCAGCGCCCACGACCGGCTCTCGTTTTTTGGACTGATGGTGAAGCCGGTGCAAAGGTTTCCCCAGTTCATCATGTTTTTGCAGGTATACTTTTAATAATATTAAAATCTTTATTTTTAGCAACATATATATTTTATGCCGTGTGGTCCTGGCATAGAATGGGCAATCCCTTTCTGTCCCGTAGGCATCGTAAGAGGCGACTAAAAGAACTTTATAGTCGAGGGATGGGTAGCAGCGTCCCACTTAAAACATCAAAGCCTAACAACTGTTGCCAATCCGCCTGCCAAGCATGAAAACTATTGGCCTATGTTCAGCTTTGGGGTTATCGACTGACATGATAATAATTATGATATATTCTTACTAATTTATGTAAAATATTAACAATTATTGATTTTACAACTATTGACCTTTTTTAATTGATTATTAGAAAAACTAGACAACTTGCAAACGAAACTGTTTACGCTATATTATATGAGTATATACATTATCATAGTCATAAAATAAGACGGGACGACTACATCCATCACGTTCATCTATTATTAATGAGGAATAATATGTTATTTTTGATGCTTGCGATAAATAAATGCGTCTACAAATCGATTTAGATTTCGAGAAGTTTAAAACTTAAATACGTAAGAAATAAAGTAAATATTTGCAATTCATCTAATATTAAGTCAAGCTCAGTTGAATGCAAATACGGCAGCATTTTGTGATGCTCTTAAATTATTTACCTAACCATGGCGAGAGAACGCCCACGTGCCCTTGTTTTTTGTTCTATGGTTCACAACGATGTTTTAATTATTTTTTATGCAGTTCAATCATGAACAATGAGTAATAAAATACGTAATTTAGAATGATTCATTCTGGAAAATAGTTGACAGAAATAAGTTACTGTTATAGTTTTATGGAAAATAAATGTTCTGAATAATGAATAACAAATTCCAGTATTAAATGATAAATAACTGAAAATATTACGCAATACAGTATATCACATATAAATTTATATACTTACCATTCTTATTAATATAACCTTTTGTGCGATACTAAGCTTATGTTAGTTTTATTCTAATTTGAACCTTAAATTACTTGCAACCTGCAATTCAATAAATTTATAGATTTAATAATAGTCGACTAATATATCTAAGAATAGAAATATTATTGAAATATGCAAATTATTTTCCTACAATTAATGTGGTTAAAAAATTTTTAAGCCTGCTTCTTTATTTAATTTTCTCTATGAATAAATAAGTCAAATGAAAACACTCAAAGTCCCTCACTGAATTTTAGTAAAAGTTTCTCTGTGTGAAAAATAAATTATAATTTAGCATATTAATAAATAGGAAAAAGTTGAAAATTACAGATATTAGTACTGCTATCCTATTGCCTGCATGGTACTGAGAGACAGATTGTTATTGGTTATACACCTCACCTTCAAATACAGCTCAATATATTTGTATAAAATAAAGCGTGTCCTCAACGACGAAACATGACAAAATCCAAATAAATCATTGCAAATCATAAACAAATCATTGCGAATTATGAGGGCGTGGTAACTGATTTGCCGCCGATGATTGCCTATTATGATTCTTCTGTTAGACCTTGTATCAACTACTATTACTCATTTGAGAGTTACACCCACAGGTGTCGAATGTTTCTAAATCATCTTCATTGTATGCACAAAACTAAGAACATAAATTTGAAATGACAAATTTGAATAATTCAAAGATTGTGCCGGAATTTTATTTTGAGATCTACAGACCGCAGCCAAGCCATGTCCAACAGAGCTGTCACTGTTGTCATTTCATTATAAACACATTTATAACAATTTAAGAATGACTCGTGTTCATTTAATTGTCCCGTTTAGTCTTGTTTTTTTTTTATAACAGGCAACACACACAGTTTTACTATAAACATAGGGCCCAATGATAAATACCTAATAGTCTAACATACATATTTAAGAATAACAAAGTCGTCTCCGGAAATGCCAGAATACTACACCTTTCAATCAAAATCTTTATTATGAGAATCGACAGCCACTCCGCCGGCTCACATGCCACAAATAATGTTAAATTAACCGAGAGTTCAACCGCTCGACTCTCAGGATAAAGTTGAACTTCACTCTAATTAGACTCCTCGACCTTTATAGAATAATGCAATGAAAATGTAAATTGTTTGTTTTTACTTTTATAAATTTATTAATCAGTTAATTTCAATAATATCTCACGCGTGTGTAACAGAAAAAAAAACTAAATATATACGATTATATTAGCTTCGACATAAAGCAACGATAACATATGATCAACTTATTATTTTTTATTTGAAATTATAATGTCACAATGATTGATGATCCATTAATGTGTTAATTTTACTACTTATTGCGATTTTATTGCACATAACCACTTAATTAAACCTATTGGAATAAATACAAAAAAGACCATTCTTTATTCTTAATTTAATTTTAATCAAATACTATTTTTGTTTCATTCTTGAGATAATAAACATTTATGGATGCGATAATTATGTTGGAAATATTTTAAAAAGTAATCTTATTTTAAACACATGTTGCGAATTTTAATTATTCGTGAAACATCACTGTTAATATAATACACTTGTTTTTATAGTGAGGTTTATAAACCATGACAAAAACAGCTAAATGTAAGAAACAAAAGTTATGTCTATGTATAAGCTATTGTATTATTACCAAGTATCGAGTTATTCCGGAACCAGCAAATACATGAGACGTATTGATGAATAAATGCAAGGTCAAAGATTTTTTTTTAATTATTTATACTATTCACCTATCCCGTAAAGAATCTAAACCTAAGGTCAAGATAAATATATTGTACATGATTTTTTTTTTCTAGGATCTCCTAAAACACACACCCCCCGGACATTCGGACCGCGTCGCGCTCCAGCGCGCCTTAACACGACTGGAAGCGCTCGCGGACGCGCTCAACGAACGAAAACGCGACGCTGAGAGGACACAGGTATTATTAATTATATCTTAGAATCTAACCATTTTAATTGCTATTTTACAAGGTTAGCTTGTTTAGAATAGAATAGAACTATCTTGTTCTGAACTATCTAGAGTTTATTTCAATAGAACATAATGATAACAACCAAGTTTTAATGAAATTGTTACAGAAATACTTTCTGAATGAACAAGTTTTTTATTTTTATTTGTACTACTGTTGGACACATAAAGACTGTTTTCCAACCGAATCAACTATTCGTTTATTTAAATTTTTTCATTAATTTCCATTGAAATAGATTATAATATTTTTATCATATTTTACTATTATTATTTCGCTTGCAAATTCTGCATTTTTAATGTGTTTAGATTTAAAACCGTAATAGTAAATCAAAAGCATTTAATGATTACTATATCTATAATTATGAATTCATTGTCATCCTAGGCCAAATAAAGGACTGAATTACGTATTCTAACCTCATCCGTAGTACAGTAATTGGGCATGTTGCTTTCCATAAACGAAGTTCCGGGTTCTTTTTTTGATAGGACCAATTTAGGAAACAATGTACTATAAATTGAATTGTGTCAAAATCTTCCGGGAGATGAGTACTTTATATAGTTTTGAGAGCTTGTCAATGTGTCATTTAGATACATTTATGGCATACACATTAAAATCGCCTAAAAATGAAGCTAGTCCTTTTTTTTATAATTGTTATATTTAAATAATTAGTGAAGTAATTTGTAATAAACGTCCTGTCCAATTTTTTTTCTATGCCAAAATCCTTAAACATAAAAAATAGCCAAGTAAATCTTAAGTAATGCGTTTACCAAGCAATAACATTTAGTTTTCATTAATACAAGCAGGTACTTTTTTTTATTTTTAAGTAAGACGTCATCGTTATTTATATATTTCTTGTTTAAATTCGAAACACGCTCCGGTCGAGAGCACCGGTAAATAAACTCTCAAGTGTCATACCTAAGAAGCGTTTATTTCGTGTATTCTATTTAACTGTTTATTCATTTCAACCTTCGCGTGAACTTGCTTTGTTTTTTTGTTAGCAATGCGGATTTAAAACAACGCTAAGAGAAGATCTATCTTTCTTTGTATCTGTTTTTAACGTATTCAAATGTTTATATTTTGTTTCTGCCATATTGAAACTGTATATCTTTTAAATTCTTTCTCGACAATTGATTTATACGTTTATACTACTCAGATTTGCTATAGAGAAGTAAACCTTTTGAAAATTATATGATAGGTATATAAAACATTTTTTAACAGGCGCTTATAATAACTAGTTTCTGGCTACGAGTTTCTCTCCATAAGAGAACGATGTTAGTTTAAACTTTCAGTTTCGACTTTTGGTGATATTATTGTGTAAACTACACATTACACACACACGGTTCATGGTTGCTTCTTATTATATCTTTGGTACGAAAGAGTGATAACATATTGTATTTACACGAATGACCAAAAAAGGGAGTGTAATGTTTTCAGAGTTCATATATGCGAGTTTCTTCATTGTACTGGAACTACTGAATGCTTGAACAGATTTGAATGCATGGAGTATCATTAGAAACTTACATCATCCCGAGTGACACTAGCTATATTATTTTTTTTTATTTGTGGGGTTCAATATAATTACATTACTATGTAACAATTTGGTCTCGACTTAGAATGGGCCATCCCTTCCTTTCCCGTGGATGTCGTAAGAGGCGACTAAGGGAACTTAAAGGTCGAGAAATGGGCCCAAGCCCATTAATTAAATGTTCTTTTTAAAACATCACCAAAGCCTAACTGTGGTTGCTAACCCGCCTGCTATGAGTAGCAACTATTAGCGTAATCCTCTAATAGAGGAAGGCCTATGTTCAACAGTGGACAGGTAATGGCAGAAAACGATGATGATAACGAACCGGGGAATGTCTCTTTTTTTTTATACAACTTAAAATGACAAACAAGCTGACGACCCACCTGATGGAAAGTGGTAACCATCGCCTATAAACATGAGCAGTACCATGGACATAACAGAGTATACTGTTTCGCCCATGATACCCCTCATGCGTTGCCATTCCTGAGGACTCAGGTGTTATCCCTCTGTACCCTGTAAATTCACGCCATATCCCACCCTTCAAACCGAAACACAGCCATGCAAACACAACTAACTGCTTTACGGTTGAAATACGAATGGGACAGAGGTACCCAAGCAAAGGACTTTTGTACAAAGTGATTGATTTCAATACTGAATGAATGCTTAAACTGAAATAAATTTGTGTTGCATAGGCTTTCCGCGCGGCGTTGCGCAGGCTGACGCGCGGCGGTGTGGCGGGCGCGGGGGGTGCAGGCGGCGCGGCCCGCTTCGGCGCCGCGCGGCTGCTTGCTTCCCGCGCCGATAAGCGCCACCTGCTGCGGCAAGACGACTTGGTACAGCTGGTCCGTATCATATCTATTTATTCATTATATTTTTTACTAATCCCATTATTATTTATTTATTATAATTACCCACTAGGTGAGCTGACAGTTTCTAAATTCGCTACAGTAGTAATCACAATATATAAAACATAATAAAATTTAATTATTAGACACTTTCTAAAAAAATTATTGTCATTCTGTGAAACTCGACAAGTTTACAAGTCAATATATCCAAGTCCGGATACTGGTTAATGACACCGTTAAGCAGAGTCAGTGCTAGTAGATCTCTTTATTATATCCCTTATCCAAACATTACTTTATGCAATTAATCCATCCCGTTGCGCTTACATCTCCGATTATTTTCTTATTTCTCAGAATTTCTTTAACATAAATAATGTAAATAAGAGACTATTCTATTTCTCTTTTTATATTAAGCTACATAATTTGGAATACCGTAACCAAATACCACGAAACAGAATACTTATAATTTTGACATATTTGTCTGTGTTTTTATGCAATTGAAAACGGCAAACAACAATTTGTAGACAATAGTTATAATTTTCTATCAGATCTGTCAATACAGATCTGATAGAAAATTATAACTATTGTCTAACAGTACCATGGACATCATAGAATATACTGCAACACCAATGATACCTCATGTGTTGTCAGAACTAAAGAAAAAAGCAATTTTATTCTTACTTAGTATGTCTCTAAAAAGTGAGATTTAGTATCTCTCGAGACGCTAACCATTTAAATGTGTTTCCTAGGAATTCAACCAACTGGGCAGCGTATCGAAGTGCAAACCTCGTCGGCTGCTACTCCTCAATGACTTAGTTGTGTGCGTGTCAGTTGGCGGCGGTGGGACAGGAGGAGGAGGGGGAGAGGATGGGGAACGACTCGGACTAAAATGGGCACACCCTGTGCAAGATGTGGAAGTCGTCGATACAGGCACCTCGCCCACCCTCAGCCGTGTGCTCGCGCAGGGTATGTATACAGTTCTGTTCGTAATATTGCCATTCATAAAACTAATAAATTGAAGGAATTTAACATTTATTTATAAATAGACACTTGGAAATTATATTAATTAAAAATTATTAGGATATGAAAGTCTTATCCCAATATTCCTATAATCATATAAGTGAATCGATAACTAGTAAGATGCGCTTTCAAACCTCACTTTGAAATTTTTTTATTCACATGATAATATTTCTAAGAATGTATTTTACAAAACTAGTTTTAATAGTGCATAAACTGTAAAACTAGAATCTATTAAAACAAGAATATAAGTAATAAAACTAGTATATATTATATCACACCCAGAGGATTTCACCACATTGACTTTACATCGCGTTTACATGCTAAAAATAGTTGAAAAAATAATTATTTATAACGAAACAAAATTTACATATTTATTTTTTCACTTAAATATTTTAATGATCGAATGACCAGAAATGATTTAGACCAATCGATTTGACAGTAGTTGTCATTTATTCTCTACATTTTTGTTTACATTTAATTGGAGTATTTGCTACGTATTTGGATATTTTTCTTTCTAAAACATTTTTTCTATATTTTTTTCATGTCAATCTTTATGATATTTTAGTAGTTATTCTGCTATTCGGAACGCAGACGAATTCAATAAATCATAGATGACCAAATCTGTCCAACCATTTTCACTAATAAATGGTGTAACTAACCCGACTTTGTTTCATTTATTTAGATAAAAATATTTTCAGTCGAATGTGTTCAAAACATGTCCGCTATCTCACAAAAAAATGGTCCCTATTTAAAACGTACTTAATGATGTCTTATAATTATAATAGGCATGAACCGCAGCGGCAGCCTACGGTCCAACTCCAGCAGTAACGGCCACCTGAACACATCGACGGCGGACTCTCTGTGCAACGAGATGTCGACGCTCATGCACGACTACGAGACCGTGTCGCGTATGGCCGACCTCGCCGCCTCACTCCGCTCCCCTTACCCGGAGCTGGCGCCTGAGGTGTTTAAGACCTTGTTGCAAAACATACAACAAAGTATACAGGTTGGTATTTCATACAAATGACACCTTATAATGATCTTACACCTTACATTTATACTACTTTTCACTTTGAATTGGACTAGAAGAAATCTCTTCGAGTTAAGCTCGCTTTACATTTACAGTGGTACTTGGATATATGAGTACCCTAATATATGAGTGTTTTGAGATACGAGCCGCCGAGCAACCGATATTTTCCTTTGAGATGAGAGCAAGATTTGAGATACGAGGAATCGCACACTGCACCGCTGCACACGACCCCAATATGCGGGGTGGATATTGGTGTCTAACAGTTTCTCCCACCTCAGACTAACACTTAACAAAAACAACTAAGGTGGTTTTTTGGGAGCACGGATTAATGGCATTTCAATTAATTTCAATGGGAAAAATTGCTTCGAGATACGAGCAAGATTACGGAACGAATTAAACTCGTATGTTTAGGTACCACTGTATTTGTATACTGTTTTCTACTATATTTATATTTATTACTAGCGCGTGCCATAAAGTATAAATAAATTGATATAGATAAGTTCAATGTTGTGTCCGCTACAATAGCAACAGTCGATTACCTAATTAGTTGTGAGCTTATATTTATTTTATAGATATCTAATAGTATACAAGTTAAAATCTTAAGTCATTAACATCTTTTCAAAGATGTGTTCTATCAGTAAAACTGAATAATTTTCCTGAAATAAAGGTCTAAAAATACGAAAATTTTAACTAGAAAACTAGATGCGTTGTGGTAGTATAAAAAGCACAATCTAAAAGATTTTGATTGAAAGAAAGTTATCTGACATCTATCAATACATATTTATCATCATCAATAATACATATTTGACAAATCTCAAGTTAAATCCGAACCTTCTATATTATCTACAATCTTCTAAAGATAAAGTCAATAAAGACATATTTTAATAAGATCTAGTATATTTATTATCTAATTGACTTTACTGATTGCCTGCCATAGATATTTTTTTTTATAACTTAAAGCGACAAATCCATCCATCATGGATCCATCTCTCAAAAAAAATTAAGGTCATATCCACCCGAAAATCGGCCAAGTGCAAGTCGAAGTATGAACTCGCACATGATCGATATAGTGCAATTGTATAAAGAAAAAATTTACAAAATATATGACACCTTGACTAAGACTTTGTACAGTGTATAGTTCCATGTTGGCCAAATCCTGTAAAATATTAATTTACTTACGAAAGTTACAAAAATATTAAAAGTATGAAGGCATTACATATAATATCACCCAATTTTTAATACAAAATCGATACTTAACGCTATGTAAAAGCCTTTACAGGTGAATAGTATGTACTTGCTTGCAGCTTTCTTGCCGACGTTTCGACGTGGTTATGTACCACGTCGTAGTTATGACGTCGAAACGTCGGCCATACTATTTATCTGTAAAGGCTTTTACGAGGTCTGTCCGGAAAGTTCGTATAAAAGTGTTCTGGAATGCGAGAAAGAGGAGTGGGGAGGCCAAGTAAGCGCAGGACCCCTTCCTTATGTCCCTAACAATGCTTCAGTTCTGGTCTGACCGCCGTGCGGTGCGAACTGGCTTGTCACGCCATCTGTGAAGTTACCTCTTAACGAAACCCCGTCGGCATGGAGCCCGCTTCCGTTGAAGAGCAGCGCGTCGTAATCAAGTTTCTCTCGAAACTCGGCAAGAATGGCCGTGAAATTTTTGCCGATCTAATTCGATAAGACATCCGGGGAACCACGAACAAAAAAATCAAGAAAATCCCGCTCAAATGTCAAGACAATGTTGATTGTTTTTTTCGATGTTCGGGGGATTGTCCATCAAGAATTCGTCCCTCCAGGCCAGACAGTTGATGGAAAATTCTACGTCGATGTGCTCAGACGCCTCAAAGCTCGTGTGGCACGAGTTCGTCCAGAATTGGCGCGAGAGGGGCGTTGGATTCTTCACCACGACAATGCCCCTGCCCACACCTCTCTTGTTGTCCGTGAGTTTTTGAGTAAAAATTCCATTACGGTGACCGAACACCCCCCTATTCGCCGGATTTGGCCCCGTGTGACTTCTTCTTGTTCCCAAAAACCAAATTGGTACTTCGGGGGCGGCATTTGGGGGACATAAATGAGATAAAAAAAGCTACGACGGGGCAGCTGAGAAACCTACAACCAGAGGACTTTCAAGGAGCCTTCTCACAGTGGAAACGGCGTTGGCACAAGTGCATTATGTCACAGGGGGAGTACTTTGAAGGGGATAAAATTGATTTACCTGAATAATTGTAAAATAAAATTTTTAAAAAACTTTTATACGTACTTTCCGGACAAACCTCGTACATCGTGTTAAGTCCCGATTAAATATTTAAAATATGTTTAAACAAAGCGAAAATTTACACTTGAATAGATCGTAAGTGTGACATCACAAGTCTATAAAGGTTGTGGATCCGCGCTTGCACACCTAATAGAAATTGGTTTCGACGCTTACAGATATTAAATGTATACATAACAGAATACATGTACAAAAGTCGATTGCTTGGGTATCTCTGTCCCATTGGTATTTCAATCGTGAAGCAGATGTGTTCGCATGGCTGTGTTTCGGTTTGAAGGGTGGGATATGGCGTGAATTTACTGGGTACAGAGGAATAACACCTGAGTCCTCAGGAATGGCAACGCATGGGGGGTATCATGGGCGAAACAGTATACTCTGTTATGTCCATGGTACTGCTCATGTCTATAGGCGACGGTTACCACTTTCCATCAGGTGGGCCGTCAGCTTGTTTGCCATTCTAAGTTGTATAAAAAAAAACATGTTCGAAACTTAACATGAGCCTATTTCGACAGCGCAAAGACGACGAGATGGCATGGGTGGACTCGTGCTGCCTGCAGCTATCCGTGCGCGGGCGCGAGGAGCCGGTGACGTTCCGTGCCCGCGAGCCGGGCGCGCGGCTCGCGTGGGCGACCGAGCTGCGGCTGGCGCAGTTGGCGCAGGCGTCGGCTAACTCGCCCGCGTGGAGGCTGCCGGCGCCGCACCACGCGCCGCACAAAATGCCACTCTTCGTCGCCGCCACGCCTGTCTACAATTCCAAGAATTTGACCGAGGTGAGGCTATTTTCTATTTTACAAATTAATAAAATAAAAGTGTTAATATTTGGTAATGCTCTTGTCTATCTATCCGGTTCTAGAATAAGGGCATACGGATGTGCAACCCCGGCCTCCCGAGCCGCTGCAGTGTGCCAGTCCTTTCCGCAACTGCAGTGTCCCCCTTTTCCTTTCCCACATAAATCCCTTATTCCTCTTATTTACCATTTACCTTTACGCTTTTCCAACATTCCCTTCCTTGTTTCCTCTATACCATAGATGGCGGAAACCACCAACAAAATGCATTCCCAAAGAGGGTTGACGTCAGGTAGGCGGCCGGTCGTAAAACTATAAGCCAAATTTTTATGTAATATGATTAAAAACTAATTTATATTTGAACGTAAAAACTGTAACTTAAGTTAACTAACCTATGAACGCCTGCAAATGTAATTATAATTAATAAAGTCATAGTTATAAAACTATCAATCAGCAGAAATGTATTTGTACGGCAGGTGCGTTGTGGGTGCTTCTACACGTCGAGCGGCTGTTCCGGCGGGGCGGGCGGCGGTCCATCGCGGCGTGCACGCGCGTTGCTGTGGGTGAGCGCGGGCGGCGGCGCCGACAGCCACGTCGCCGTACTCACGCATCGCGCCGCCAAGCTCAAGACCCTAGTCACGCTCGACTTACCCGACACCAAGGTATAGGGCCAGTGTTCCAATATTTAGATCATTTTTATTGAAATTGAAATTTTATCTTTTTATGAATAATAAATACTGTTTGGCTGCTAAATAGCATTGTATATAAAATTACTAAGAAACGTTTTTTTTATTGATATCTTATTATAATTTTAATTGAGAGGTATATAAATACATATAAAGTAAAAAATAAATTGCATTCTGGACTAAGTACATAATTGTTTCTATAATTGCCACAACATTAGTACCACTTTTTTTTTGTCGTCTTGTTTCTTTTACATAGCTAATTGATTAATATTGCTACTAAGCAGAATAAATGTTATCATTTATTTCACAGGTGACCTCAATGGAATATGCAAAAGGACTTCGACAAGTGACCACACTGTGCGGCGACACAGTCTGGCTCGGCACTGAGGACAAGAAGATCATTATATTTTCCGGCGTGGAACCAGAGAAACAGGAAAAACTGACTGAGGTCCACACCATCGCTGCCGTAACACAAATACGCTACCACTGTGACTCCATGTTCGTAGGTCTTGCTAACGGCAGAGTATCGGTCTTCAGGAGGAATCACGACGATTCCTGGGCACTGCAAGAACCTCTCGCAATTGAACTAGGAGACAAACCCGTGCACTGCGTCCTGCCAATAGATGGCATTATATATGCGACATGCGCGCGACGTGTGTTCGCCATAAATGCACTCACAGCAGAAATCATGCGTATACTAGAATTAAAAGGCGACGACAATCGCTCAGTTAGATACTTAGCACATTCTGGCGTTGGACTGTGGACTGCTTTTTCAGACTCTACATATGTCAGCCTATACCACGCAGAAACCTTTGAACACCTCCAGAATATTGACATCGCCGCCGACGTGGCGAAAACTATAGGAGCCAGAGAAGGAAGCAAGCCAGCTTACGTATCTGCTTTACTTGCTGGACAAGGATTGCTGTGGGTTGGGACGACAGCCGGTGTCACGGTCACAGTACCACTGCCAAAACTAGAAGGACTACCGCTGATCGGTGGACACATTGCTGTATCGTACCACGCGCATGCTGGCCCCGTAACATTCCTGTTATCTTTGTTACCGGAGTCGAGAGATGTAGATGTAAATGTTATTCGACGCAATCTCTCCAACGCGCGGGCTCTCGCTGACACTACCACTTTACAAGAATTCAAAGAAGAAGAAGCGAAAGAAGATAACGAAAAGCCCAAACTAGAAAGGCGGATATCAGAAGAATCAAGTCCGTACCGGCCGCAACGCGTACAATCAGCAGTCGTAAGGAGGAAGAAACCAGGAGATGTGCGGCTTAGTAAAACATTACCAAAGTGTGCCAACCTGAATGCATGTGATGTCTATGGTTTGTTTGGAGATTTAATGTTTGTTAAAGACTGTGTGGGCGAAGGAGATGTGAGCGGTTCAGGCGGCGATGCATTGCGACGGAGTGATCCGGAATTAGCCGCAATACCTTTCAGAGTCAGTACCCTCGATCGTAGATTGAGAATGCGAGCTGGTCGACCAAGAAGTCTCGACTTGTCTAGTTGGTCAGTAGATTCGCGCGCTTCCAGTCTGTGCACGTCTTCCGGCAGTGAAGAGTCGATGGCATTGCGCGCTGTTTCCCGAAACAGCTCCGGGGCATCTGGTGCAGCTGGACTCGCACCCGTAGCAGTTTCTACACCAGACTCGTCTTCAGGGAAATCTACAGCGTCTGAGCGCTCAGTCTCTCGGAGCGATTCTGCTTCAGCTAACGAACAGAGACCAACGCCTAAAAACGCAGCGAGGAGCCTCCGCGGTGCTGATTACGTAGTTGGTGAAAGCGCGGCCCGAAGGTCAGTAGTGACCATTGTAGGCGGTCGAGGCTACGTAGACTGGAGGCAAACCGCTGACGCTGCAGAAAGACCTGCGCCAGCCGCAGATCCTAACCCCAAAGACGCACATCTCATTCTGTGGGAAACGCGATTGTGACGTGTGACTCGTGGGACTGAAGTATGTTGGATACTTTACGCGCGTACTCCTTACGTGAGATCACCATTGACGAATCCAAATACTATCAGAAAATTCTGTGTCATATATTTCGCAATGTAAATACTGGTGCGAACAAAGATCTATGTAAATTTTACGTGTTTAAAGGGCTATTATAATTATACTGTAGGTTATTAAGATTGTGTTAAATATTTTGTAAATCTGTTACGATATAACACGCCTTATATTTGCGAATATTTAAAACCGTTCTGTTTACGCAGAAGCAGGATTACATATTTGAAAGTTTAAATTTACACTGAGTGTAAAAGTATGTGATAAGCTTTAAATTATTTTTGGAAATTAGGGCTTTGTTTAGTCCATTGTTTACATCGGTTTATTTGATAATATTTAAGCACTGGTGCATTGTTTGTGATGTTATATTGAAATATTAAGTATAGGAAATATGCTATATAATAATTAACTGTTTCGAATAATTGTGTTCAAATATCATTTAAATTGTAATAATTGAAATTAATTTTTTAAATAATTCCAAAATAAATCAGATCTAAATTCCGATAAAATGTTAGTAACCCGCCATATTAACTTAGAATTAAACTTGATTGTAAAAATGTAATTAAACTTTAATTTCAGTTGAGAATTAATATTATAATTTAACAATAAATGTAAATTCAATTTAAGCGCAAATTAACATGAAACATAGTGGCCTTAATGTTAAAATTTCCAGTGTGTGATTATAGCATTCGTTTAAGCTTTATTGTTAGACATAATTATAATGTCGCTTTAAGAATTAGACTGATTTAGTTTAAGCGTTCAAACATATTATTAGTTGAATTTTAATGTTTAAGGCGAATATACGAATCTACGAACGAATTCACAATAGAATAAAACGGGTCTCGCATATGCCGAACAATATAGCATAGGTACAGGTACTAATTACATATACACATCAAGAGAATAAATATATATACAAAATATTTTGTTATAAAAGAGAAGAAATAACATGACAAAGGCGATATTTAAAATTTACTTTGCAAATTCACGATTTATTTTCGCTCGCCGTGGAAAATTAATTATTTATTATATAGACAATAAAGCATGTTATTCCTATCTTTAACAGTTAATAGTTACTATCTTATGTATTATATATTTATATTACTTATCTTATCGTATGTTCTGTCACAAAGTTACGCAAATGTTTTACTCTATTTGCAAGTTAATTGCATATAAGTTATTTTGTTTCTATACCTTATACATTGTTAGTGGTCAGTACTGTGAAATTTAGATTGCGCAACTCCAAAGAGATAATGTTTTCATACAGGCATTTTAAAATTAAGGATTCCATATATACTGCTAAAAAACTAAATGTGCCAAAATGTAAACTTTCAGTTGTATTTGTTAAATATTGTACAGAAATATTTATTGTATAGAATTTTATTTTACAGTAAATATCCATATTTTTCAACAAACAATATTTTCATGTAAAGGAATTCTAAAATACTGTAAATTTGTCAAGGCCATATCTAAAAATTTCACAAAATCTTCAATACTTTTGGTTATATTATTTCCATGGAATCTTTATTACTAAAAAGGGGTCACAATATGTATGTACTAAGGTGTAAATAAAATTTAAGTTTATATGTATACACCTGTACTTTGTTGTTTTAATTTCATCACAACTATAACCATATTATAGTCAAGTGAATTGGTCAAACTAATAAAATTTCGATAAAAGTAAACAATTGAAAAACAAATTACAATCATCTGATAATGCTTTTTATCCACAGATAAGAGGATATAGAAAAAGCAAAATACTTATTAATCTTTTTCAATAAAATAATATTCAAAAGCTGTTTTACAAAATTTACCTGATCTGGGAATTAAATATGCAGATAATGATTATTTTTATTGTTTAATAAATGGGGCCAATGTTATGGACAATACGGAAAATGTAACATTTTTCCGTATAGATTCCGTGAAATGAATTTAAATTTTAGGTAAATTGTAAAATGCCCTTTAGTTTTAGAAATAAACAAGCAAGAAATGCATATTCATAAGACTATCCTTGATCCGAATAACTAGAATCAATATATACAAAATTTAAAAAAAAAATTCCTTAACCCATTCGACTACTATATATTATACTACCAAAATATAATAATAGCCACCAATGGAAAATATATATTAATTTTTTGTTTAAATTCCTGCCTCAGGTTAAAATGAAGAATTATTTCTCTTGAACCTTTAATATTATATTTCATTGTTTATGTGCTAAAAAAAGTGTTATTTTAGCAAAAGCAAACTCCCGTCTAGAACTATCTACATATAATATTACAAAACTTCTTACGTCACAATGGCACTGCTAATATAATAGGCGCCTTTTAAGCTTGGTTAATTTTAATGATTAATATATCCATAACTACACGGAAATATCCCTTAAGTACTAATATTATAAACGCAAATTTGTCACATTTTCACAGCAATCCTATAGAATATTGGCAGAGATAGTTAAAATGTATGAATAGAATAGAATGTGACGTCATAAAACCACCGAGACAAATTTTTTGTGTACTTGAACAGCAAATTCGACGGCCCACGACCAGACGAATGTTACTAAATATTAATGAATAAAACTACTAGCAATTACCTGGATGAATTAAAACAAAGTTACTTATTAACCCTTTATTACAAAAAGTTATTGTTTGATGTGGTATATTGGATTAGATGCAAATTCTATGGTATTCCTGGAACAAAAAAAAGGAAAAATGTAGCTACTCAAACTACTTACCATTGTAATTTAACTAACAAATATTGCTGAGGAGTAGCAATTCACCTTGTCAAGGCTATCTCCTTTGAAATCAACGTGGTTAAATCTTAGTGGTTACGCCATAAACGGTAGACCAAAATAAACTAACTCCATTCTTACCTAACACTATACATATCTAACTGGTAGACCACTAACATTAACCAGTAGCACTAGGATGGATAACAAAACAATTCTATTTACATCCATAAAAAAAAACTGCTTCTTGAACAATATGATAAAAAAGAAGCAGGTAGGTAGGTAATTCTCGAAGCTCCTGTATTTGGCAACATACCACATGAATGACGTACCAGACACAGCTTGCCAATTCGTCAATAGCGAATATTTTTTTATAAGATACAGAAAATAGCAAATCAGCTGAAGGCCCACCTAATACTAGTACAGACAATAATAAAGCACCTGCGTGAATACTCACTGTTCCGCCGCTTACATTCCCTGAGCGCTTCGTTGAAAGCTTCACACTCTTGCAAATTTTCCCTGTTCGTGGCACATTGTAAGAACTGCGCAATCTCATATGCACAGGGCCCGCTGGGCTCTGAACCCAGTTGGTAGTCTCGCGGCAGTTGTTGAACGACCTCTTGGTGCCGACGGCCTCCACCAAACATGCTGCTTATCGCTTCCCCCGCTAAATGTCCCTAAAATTAACGGGTACAGAGGCACAACACCTTAGTCTTTAGGAATGACAACACATGTGGAATACCATGGACATCATAATGTGTTCTGTCATGTCCATGGGTTTTTTAATGAATGATATTGGAATAGTACCCCGCTTGCGCTAACTGTATACGCTGGCGGGGCCCCAGTGAGGGATGATAGGCGAGAATTAAAAGGCAGGTCAGTTAACTCATCGTGATGAATACACCTGGAATTCAGCACGATGGTTTCCAGGTGAGGAAAGGTCGACCTGACAGGATATATTGCTAACAATGCGACTGGTAGTGCGCATTACTAACAATCATCATACCTCTCCCACCCCGATAGATTACCCCTACCCCATTAGTAGGCAATCAACTTTGCCATTTCATGTCATATAAAATAAAATATATCTAATTATAATTATCTAGAAAAATAACAAATCTTCCTAAAATCCAACATATCTAAACAAAATTAATCATGTATTTAAATAGGTAAATACTTAAATATTGTCTAAAATCATACCATAGTTGTGCCCACAGTGACGCCGCCTGCCACAGCGGCTGCATCTCGGAACATGGAGCGCTGCGGTGTAGGCGTGACTATGATGCGAGGTGGTGATGCTGGCGCATGTTGCTCGGCGCGGGAGTAGCGAGAACGACTAATAAACGAATAACGAATTATTCAACGTTGCAATTTGCAAATAATTAACAACAAAAAGACTCGTCGGCTTGTTTAATAACAATATATTTGCTTTGATTCTTTACGATTTAAAAGACTGAGGAGTATTACGATTCCTCCTGGCATCAACAAATTATATAAATTTAATGAACATAATGATTTTTTTATAATTTCTTTTTACATCGGTTGGAGTCTTCTTTAAATTCCTACATTATTATGGCATCCTCAAAATCGAAACAACATACTTCCAGTTTAAGGATTGATATTATCTAATTATTTATAAATTATTAGATACTGAAGTAATTAAATTTAGGTTTTCTAATGGAAATAGAAGCCCAATATATTGGCTATCTTTCTGGCAGAAATACCAAAAAAATATGGACAGAATTTCTGATCATCATCACCATACCAGCCGTTAACTGTCCACTGCTGGACATAGGGCTCTCCATATGGGAGACTAACAGTAGTGACTACTACTGTTAAAGTCTCCCATATGGAGATCCCATACGCTTGGCAGTCGGGTTAGCAGCCGTAGTTAAAATTTTGATATTTAGCGTTTATTTTTATAGCAACTTATTACCCTGCCGGTAAGGAGTCACGCGTAATATAACTATTTTGGATATATAAATGAAGAATATACGTTTAAAAAAGAAATAAAAATATGGTTTAGGTATTGGTGTGCCGACGTTGCACATTATTCCAAGTGACCTTTACCACCAGTTTCTTAGTACAGCAGGGTAGAGCCAGTAATATACAATAAAAGCCTGTAATACCCAATATAACTTAATAAAGATCGAAAGATTAAGATATTTTTTTATTTAGATTTTAACATTTAACAGTTAATTTTATCACAAGAATACAGACTTTACTCAGTATGTCGCATTTTAATAAAAGACTTATTGGTTTTTTTGTTTTTATTACATATATAATTTTCACTAAAAATTAAGTAAAACGAATAGTTTACATTTGTTATAAATAATTAAATTTTACATCACAATGTAGCAATATAATAAACACTAAAATTTTCTAAAAATCAACTGTCTCCCTTGTCCTTGCTATTGTCTATTTCTCATAGAAATGACTGGGAAGGTGTCCAACATTTAGTAGATTAAAACAAAAAGTTCTTATAGTAAGGTATGATCTAAAACAATAAATTGTATTTGCCCATGTTCTGTATAATCCAATCAAAGAATTTTTGATGGAGAAAACCATTATGTAAATGGGACACCTTATTTAATTTTTATTTTAAATGTGGTTGTTAACTTTGCATTGACGTAAAGCCTCATTAAAGCCTTCACAGAGAGACAAATCGTGTTGTTGTTGGGCGCACTCTATGAATTGCTTGATCTCCCAAGCACAAGGACCTTGGGGCTGCTGTCCTTGGTATTGTTGGTAAGTTTGAGCTGGGGGCTGTTGCTGCTGCTGCTGCTGTGCTGGCTCACTGCTGCCACCACTGAACAAACCAGTTAGAGCACTACCAGCCATATGACCCTGTAATACAAATAAAAAGAATTCTTTTAAGAAAATTTAAAACATTAAGAATTAGGTGGTTTATTTTACTATTAAACAAGATTAAGAAGTAGGTGAGAAATGTACTAAAATGTTATTTAAAGCAAAAGTTACTTTGTTAGTAACAACTCTAATGATTGCTATTGATATTGCAATTTATAACAGTAACGGATAACTGTAACAATGTTCTTTTATTATTTATGTTATTATCTAATGTAGATATACATATTAATTCATTTTAATTAAGTACTAATTCTTTTTAGAATCATTTGTAACCTTTTGCATTAAGACTGCTCAAGAGTGCAGATATCGAATTATGATCAGAGGAAACATTGAAATTAAAAAGTTATGAATTATATTGTAATGTTACCGTTTTAAATAAAGTGGAAAAAAAAATATAAAATAAAATACATTTATGTAAAAATAAATATTCATTATTATAGTTGTATATTTATTGGAAGAATAAGTAAAACGCTTCACTACCTATAAGTAATACAAAAATAAAAAATCTTAAGTCTTCATAAGATAGAGAAGGATAAAATACCTCATATAGCAGTGGATATACCACTCTATTCATTTATTACCCCTCAGCCAAAATATAGATAAAATTTTTAAATAATTTCAACAATAAAAAAATATTTTTCATTAAATTTCTTAATTTAATTAATTTTGCTATCTATACAATTACAAAACGGAAATATCCGTATTGGTTTGATATCAATTTTGTCATGGTTGAAATCACTGTATCTTTAACAGAGTAAAATCTTAATTTGATTCCAGGAATATAGAACAAAGAATAAATGCTTCAAGTTATCAACTATTTAATATTTTAAATTAATATTTAAAAACAAACCTAAATGTACTAAAAATGAACTAAAAAATTTTAAATAGCAAAATATTTTTATATTTGTACAATTAAAATGGAAAAGTTACAAATATCATTGTGCAAAACATGTTTACTGCTCATATAAAAACAGTAATGATGTCTCAAGATAACGTCACACACGTGACCATCTTCACATTACTGGCTCCACGCCAGTCTTAGAACTAAAATGTAATATAATTATGATTGCACAAAATATTTCAATATTTAATCATAAAGGAAATATATTAAGTATTTTTAATTTTCAAATTATTACTTGGTTACGTAATAATATCACGTACCATAGCTGATCCCACAGCTACTCCACCAGCAGTAGCAGCCATCTGTCCGAAAAGGGATGGTTGCTGGGGCTGAGCTTGAGCCGGAGCAGGGCTCGATTGAGGTGCATGAGCCGGGACGCTGCTTGGAGCTGGAGCAGCTCTGCAATTTAAGAGGTTATCAAAATCATATGATTATTAAACAAAAGCAATAATTCCATTTAATAAAAATTACCTTCGCTGTGGCGCTGGTGGGGGACTTGCAGAACGTCCTCGTCGAGGCATTTTCGAGACACTTCAATGATACGGTAATAAATGAACTCAAAGAATATCAAAGAACACTAAAGCTCCACTGACGACTATAAGTCAAATTGGACCAACCGCAAATGACTGACAAAATATCGAATGACATGATATGACATTTTTTCTAGAAAATTTAAATGTCGAACAAATATTCTTTCTCTTTTCAATTTAATAAAAAGAACTTGATAGACAAAGACAGCAAAGCAGAATGAAATCTCAATAAATGAATGAATGACGACGAATGAAAAGTAGATAATATTCTTAATCTATGACGAAAAGGAAATGCCTATTGATAGACCAACGACTTCTGCTGGAAAATAGAGTTTAAAATTAGTTAATTTTTTTAGGTAAAGTAAAAAAATAAAAGGTGTAAAAATTTATCGCCAATTTAATAAATACCTATATTTTTAATGTATGAAAAGAGAAAACAGAATAAATATGTTTTAGAAATACATAAAGTTTTGTCAATACACGCTTAATATAAAAATATAAATTTAATCAAACTATATAGAAAATAGTAATCGTCATAGTTTGGATATTTATGACACTAAGATATCCCATCTATACTAAGATACACTTTCATATGTTATCTTTCATGTCTACATAATGCATATTTTGGAATTGTAAAATCTAGTTGATATATATTTTAAAATATAATAGGTATTTATTCACATAAATTAAACGAGAGGAAATTAATTTAAATAAATCAAACTGACCTTTTGCTTCGACCCGGCATATTTCAAGAGGTATAAAATGGGTGTTTATTTTTTAATATTAAAAAAATACTACATATTCAATTTTATTGAAAAGTAAGCTTTGTCAAAATAATTTCTGATAAAACAAAGACAAGTACTATCCTTAATCTATGTGAACCTATAAACAATATTATTTTTTAATTTTTATGCCAGTCCTATTACTATCAATCTTTATTTATACTTATTTATAATCAATAATTTATTATAGTGGAAGTGAAACAAACAACATTGAAAATGAAATCATCAGAAAAAGATTAATAAGATTTTCATTTATTTATAATTAATAAGACTTTAAGATGCAATTAACCATATCTATTTATTTACTTTATTACACTAAGCAAAAAGAGAAATAACAAATATATTAAATATTAATGAGAAGTTATAAAAAAGGCGGCCTTATCGCTAAGCAATCTCTTCCAGACAACCTTTGAGTAGAGGACATTGAGAAAAAGACAAAGGGTAAATGGCGCACTATTATATAAATATTATCATATACAAACATATATAAATACATACATACACACATATATTATATATACACAATCAAATATATACATAAATACCCACATACAACAGTAGAAAATGACGAAGGAAAACGAAGAGAGAACATAGGAAAATAGTATCTACTAAAGGGAGAGGTAGTAGGATTTAACAGAGGTTTTGAAGCTAGTAAGAGTTTGAGCCCACCGAATAGAGGTAGGTAGTGAGTTCCATAGGCGAACTGCCTGAATAGTAAAGAATTTAGAATAAAAGGAAGAAGAATGAGTGGGAAATTTGAGGCGGAGGTTATTGACACTGTAAAGTATGATCATTAGCCTTGCTGGCAAGCAAGAATCGGTCTTTTAGATAATCAGGAGCAGTGGGATTAAAAAGGATTGAGTAAAGAAGAGACAGGATATACAGATTACGACGAAAACGGATAGTGAGCCATTTGAGTTGAGTACGAAATTGAGAAATGTGATCATATTTGCGAAAACCAAATATGAAGCGGATACATAAATTTTGAAGACGCTCAAGCTTGTTTAATTGCTCTTCGGTGAGGTCTAAATAACATGAGTCGCCTTAATTATGAATGGGTAGGAGTAAGGTGTGTGCGAGCGCAATTTTGGTGTTAACTGGGAGGAAATTACGTAATCTATTCAAAGCATTAGTAGCAGCATATTAAATATAATAAAACACAGCAAATAACGTAACACCTCAGTATACATCAATCTATTCAGTACCTTGCGCTTTTGTTACGATTATGCGTTTCGACTGATTTTTACATCATATATTTAACTTTGGAATTCATTTTAATGGACGATTTACTATCTGGTTAATTTTCTTCATCGTACAATATAATTTACTTAGACGTACCGTCACAATAAAAGCCATGACTCCGACGAGCGTCTTCGCGTCTATTTTAATGTAAATAAAAATAATTACAAATCGACTTCAGTTGTGGCAAAACTAGTTATTTGGATTTGAAAATTAAATTACAGGACCGATTTTGATAAAATTTCTGTAGAACCCATCTGTACTTATATTTGTAGGAAAGAGGTCGTAAACAGTCGTATATAGTCATACAGACCTACATACATAATAGGCTTGCTGAATGGAGAAATAGAACTCTCTTGTGTAAAGCTCGATGCATACAAATTGAAATAAAGATACCAAAAAATTTTTGAGCCGAAGCTATACATACGGCGAATTATATAACGAATAGAGTATTCCACAAATGGAAAACCACTTTTCTAATTATGGCTTAGGCGATTCCTTTTTGAATCAAATAAAAAAAAAATTGCTTTTGCACGAAAAGGTTTTTTGTTGGCTACCGCATAAATACAAAATGTTATAGAATATGATCATCAATTGTCAAAATGAATCGACTAAGTAGACTCAAAATTTTTAAAAGATTGAAAATGAAAGGGAAGAAGCCATTAAATTCTATATACAGTTAAATCCAAAACAAATAAATATGAAACCAATAGATGAACAAACTCAACCTATAGTTTCTGATCAAAATGATCACAAATAAAGAGCGCATGACGCTAACTGAAAAAGAAGATAATCTAATTAATAAAGAACCCTGAACGTCAAAATGTGAAAAACCATAAAGAGATAAAAGGAAACTATGATATAAAAGACTACGAACTATGAAAATGATGCACAAGATAGCAAGCACGTAACAGAAATAACTCACTTCGATGAACACAAAGAAAACAATAAAGGCTAGGATGATACTATTAAGGCAGAAATAAAAACACATATCAAAAACGGAACTCGGAAAATAGCAAAAAAGAAAAATGCATCAATGAAGAAAAATACAAAATGATATTAAGAATAAACGCGGAAACAGATAACATTGAAATAAAGGGGGCTAAATTAGTAATGTGATTCACACAGCAACCCGGTGTAGAATACATTGAAGCTTTTGCCCCATTGTAAAACTAAGCAGATAACTTAAAAATAGATCAAATGGACGTTACTACAGCATATCTCAATGGAGAGCATTACATACACATTATGAAAAATATAAATCAAAATAAAAACTTTCTTGGAAAAATAGGTAATTGAAATTTAAAACATTCTTCAATAAAGCTAAAAAATATTAAAAAACATTAGAAACACAAAAGAAGAAAGGTTTGCAAGCTTTAAAAGGCTTTATATGGATTAAAATAGTCCGGACTTGTCGTCCGGATATCTGGTATTACAAACTAGATGCAGAATTAAAAGATATAAATAAGATTCAAAAGATATAAGTTTTGAATCGTGTAATGCAGATCCTTGAATATTTGTACCTATTTAAGGAAAAAGGAAATAAAATAATACTAACAGAACTTATGTTGACGATTTAATTATAGTATATTCAGGTTAAGAAGTGTTTTTTTTTTTTTTTTTTTTTTTTAATATTTTAAGGGCTTTTACCTTCTTCAGGTATATCAGTCCTATTGTACCCTGAACTTAAATGAAGTAAAAAAAAATTAAGAGAGAATTTTTAAAATGAAAGACATTAGAATATTAAAATACTGCTTAAGTATAGAATTTAAACGGAATAACAAAAAATATTATGAGTCAAAAGAAATATTATGACGACATTGTTAAGAAATTATATATGCAAAATGCAAAACCCTTTTTTTTTATCGTGGGTAAATACATCATGCAGACCCATATGCTCCGGTAAAAGCGTATCCCTCGGCACTATTATAATCACCACGGCATCCCTCGTCGCACCATAGTGTTGGGGATTCGGGTTCCCTTTCAAAGTCCATCGAGCGGCGTTAGTCCGCACCGGCGATGTGGCGAGCGCTTAGCTAGCCCATTCTTTAATGGAAAGCGCGCGGGAATTCACGCGCGACTTGCCAGGGCCACGTTGATTGAGATAGGACCGTCCTCGCAGTTGTCACCCGGCTCTTTGGCGAACAGCGACTAGCCGCCCTGGTCACCCGAGTGGGACGGACTTTGGTCCGTGTCCATCTCTTCTCTTTGCGGCCTTTAGAGAGGGCCTGAACGGCTGGCCGCTGCAGCTGCTTCTTTTTGGGTGGGGTGCAAGTCTTTGCACTCACCTAATGATCCACCGGCCGACCCGCTATGGCGCACACCACAAGATTGATAGAATAGATCGAAGATCAAATATCAACCATTGTATAATAAAGAACGATGCAGCTATAAGCTGGGAGTCAAGAAAATATAGGACTGTGATATTGTCAACGGCGGAAGCTAACTATTGGCTTTGAGAGATTATACGAAAGAGACTATTCATTTGAAAAACATTCTGAATGATTTGGATTATTGTAAACAAAAAAATTACAACGACAATTAAGCTGTGCATCACTTAGTAATAAACACTATCGTTAACGGACAAATTCAAACATATTGACAACATTGAACAAAATGTGGTGCAAGTTTTATACCTAGTACCTTTTCAAAAGCTTTGCCTCGTTATAAATATGAATATTGTCGCCATAATACTTTATTACTTATTAATATTTTAGTAAAATTACTTAACATCACAGTTCGTTTCAATTATCGTAATTTTAATTATATGCTATCAAGCTGTACGAAAAGTACGTAACGCATCTACCTAAACATCTTTTTAAGACCATGTTTCATTTATTTGTCAACTCAATGAAAAATAATCCATATCTATAAGAAATATTATTTTTAGTAAAAGTTAAATAAACCTTTTTAACATTATATCTATAATAATAACACAGTACATTTTTTCTTTATCTATGTCGAAATAATCGTGTGATTGATTGATGAACGAATCCAATGAAAACAAACTCGTCTAGTAGCACCTGTCTTTGGCTAACACATTCGGTTTACACTGGTTTATACTCGGTAAACTGTCATTTTCATCTTCCATCCCGCCTCTTGTTGCGCTCAGTCAGTCTGATATCGCGAATACTGTTACGACGCTTGAACCTTAAGTGTTATTAAATACGAATATTATAAAATTGTTGATTGTTGTTATTTTTGAGTGAAAATGGGCGATATTCAAGCCGGTTTAAACACAAATGTATTCCTTGTGGCAGGAATTACTGTATTTTTATGTATACTGATACATTTTGTTTACAAAACCTTCTTTGGAAGTAAAAAAAAGGAGATATTCAAAGATGAAGCGGAGAACAATTTGGGTGAGTTTGTCTATACAAAAATAATGTTTGATAAAAGTAGGACAATGAAAGTAGGTAATGCTTCTCTCTAATGCTTAAACTACACGTGGGTCGTTTGCCGCTAAGTTCGCTTTGGAACCCCATGTGCGGAATCTAAGATACATTCCTTGCGGTTCTTATTGCCGAACGGATGCGGTATGTCAGTGATTGTTGTAAACGGCTATAATATTGAGGAACTTCAGTGTATTTTTTAATATTATTATAATGATACAAAAGCTCAAAGATAGTTCTAAACTACTAATAATATTAAATTATTCATAAGTTCTATCCATATTTTTTTTAAATTACAATGTCATCAATGTAATTAATTTTCCTATTTTGGTGCTATATAAACAATAAAGTATTCATCTGTTAATATTAATTATTGAAGAAATTACTAATTGTATATGTATTCTAAAATTTTATACAGTAGTAATACCTCCTCTCTTAGGCACGCTATTTCTTGTTTACTTTCAATAAAGCTGCCTTTGACATTTTACCTGGTTCTATTTAATTTAAAACATTAATGTTAAGATGAACAAGGAAGATATTAAAATTAAGTGCTTAAAAATGCACTTAATTACTTTTGTGCAAATGAATAAATTATTATTATTGACAAGTTCCTATTTACAAACATTTCAATAATGTAAGTACACTATTTTTAGTTGTGGGTACTTAAATATTATAATAATGTAACTTGCAGAGCAATCAGACAAATTATACATTATTGTAATATTATATTATTTTCTTAAATAAATTAATAACTAAACCCTATCATATAGCCTTCTGATGTCCAATAGTAATAAAAATAAATATATCAATTAATTGTTAGGATTTGTTTCTAATTTCATTTTGAGAGTATTTCTGAGGTGATTTCAATAAAACTTGGTTAATTTTTCATTACATTCCATTAAAACAGACTATAATTAATTAAAATTTCTTTATTAAGTTTATATAAGTTCTATTAGCATATTTGGTATCAGCGCATTACTTTTTTTTTATTTTTCTTAAAATCTAAATGTATTTGTATTAATCAATACCTATTTAAATGCCTCATTAACTCAGGCTAGTATTGCTTCTATTACTAATATCTTATTTTTTGTCATGTTACAGTTTTATTTAATCAATGTCTTAATGTTGAAATGTCCACCACTGGGCATGAATTTTTTTTATAATAAAAGAATATTAGCCTGTTGTTATGATATTGACCAAGTTTTTCCTTGTTTTCTTTCTCTCTTGCATTGGTATATTGTTTGTACCCTCAGTTGTTTCTTACAACATTATGGAATTAAAAGGACTGATAACACATTGCATATTTACCCTATTACTACAAGGATTATACAAAGTACTATTTTATTATAATATATACAATATAAAAACATGTAAACATACAGTAAGGAAACATATAATATTATTAAAAACAATCTTATGGTTGTTTTTTATACCATTATATGATGTTTCTTTCTGCATTATGCAGACATGTAGACAATAATAATGAAAATATTTTTACATATTAATATGACCTTTTGCTCAAGTTGCGCATTATTATATTTTAATCTACTGGAACATGACCATCAACACTTGTTCAAATAATGTTGAACAATAAATAAAGACAATTCAGAAAACTAAGTTTGTCAAGCAAATAATAATATAAAGTTTTGTTAAACTACTTACAATGATGCAAGATTTTAAACAAATTGATACATCTCTTTATCTTATGTTTACAATATTTTTTTTTAATGGATTTGTTTAGAAGGTACTAAATACACTTACCAATGTCAGTTCTTATTTTCTTACTAATATTATGTAAACATAAGTTCATTAGTTATTTTTAGTTTTCAACTACCCAACTGATTCTCATGAAATTTGGTAAATACATTGTTACATACAGTTGTTGTTGTTGTTATAAATTTTTATTATATAATATATACTTATACATATATAGTATTTAGGCTACTTTTTATTTTAGCCATGTTTCAATCACATGGACAAATTTCAGCTACAGCTTTTTAAATATAATGTACTGTTTATATTTTATTATTTGTTTAATAAAGAATATATAAAGGTCAAAAATAATAAATTATACTATATACCTACCATATAGTAAGACTTTTATTTAAATATACTCAGTAAATATATTTGTTTGCATGTATTATACTTATCTTAATTTTCCATCATAATATAACCATTCATTTTGAAATGTTTTAATTGTTTAAATATGCAACAATAATAAAGGAAGTTTTTTAAAAGTTATTTTAATCATGACAAATATAATAATTGATTATACAGGGGAGTAATTTCTCTTAACTTATTAGCAAAAAGAATTATTAAAATCGGCAAAGATGTTGGCGAATTGAACACTTTCTCTAATATTTCTTTAAATATCTTAAACATATGGCTTACCATAGTATAAAACAACTTGTATAAGAATTAACTTTACTTTTATATGCAATTTTATATTATCAATAGACAATGAATAGTAAAAAAGGTGTACTTGAATTTCACTTTATTATCAGAATTACTAACTGTGACTCACAATTCTGAACTAAGACTTACCTATAACTATGCTATAGGATTTATAGATCCATAATAAAGTATGTTGAACCATTAACAGAGTGGAATGTACGTATTATTCATTAGTTGTTTATATCTATCTGTTCACTTAAAGCCGCATCTATAGGTAGGTCTCAGACCGCTTTTTGCGACTATGACGTCCGAAACGATTAACAAAAAAATACAGAATTATGAATTGAATACTTAATTTTATTGCTTATTATTGCAAAACCCAGTTAAATATATTTTATAGTGGAATCTGTTATAAATATTATAATAGGTACATAGTAATGTAGCTAAAAAAAACTATGAATGAAAAGTATTTATGAATATAATTAGCAATAAATCATTATGTCATAATATGTGGTTTATGCACATTTGAAGAATAAGAAGAAGGTGGAATAAAGTATAACCAGTACATTTTCGTTTGCAATTATAAAAATATGTTTGCTTTGCTAAAATCGAACTATTAATAATTAAAATTGTGTTCCACAAAAAGACTTCAAAAAAAACAAAACTAGTTATTTTGATATAAAAACCAAACCACTAAAACGTTTTTGGTAAAATTTCTATAGGACCGATCTTTAATTATATTCTTTCTGATAAAAACGAAATTTTCAAATCAGCTTACTACTGACTATTGCTATAGGGTAATAAACATAAAAAATACAACTGCATTGGGAACCTCCTTCTTTTTGAAGTCGGTTGGAAAATATTTATATTATCTCAGTCCTCAGGAATGGCGACGTAAGAGACAGGTGTCGTATTAAACTCTGTTGTGTCCATTATGCCATTCATGTTTTTAGGTGGCGGTTCTTTTCTCATTAAATGGGCTGACAGCATGTTTGCCATTCTAAGATGTATAAACAATGCATGCGTTTTACACCGAAAACTTTCAGAATTATACATACAAATAGAAGTTGAAAATTTGAAACAGGAGCTAGTTTTTTTTTTATTATCTACATCTACACTAATATTATAAAGAGGAAAAATTTGTATTTTTGTGTGTATGTATTTTTGTAATTAATAAACTCAAAAACTAGTTTGCCAATTTTAAAAATTCTTTCACCATTAGAAAGCTATATTCACCCTAAGTAACAAAGGCTATATTTATTGCTAGAAAAGATTAGGGATCCTTACTAAAACTTTAGTAACGTAACTCAAGGTGTAAGAAAATGCTATAAAATATCTTTCGTTGCGTGCGCTGCGGAAATTATTGGTCATAGAACAAAAGTATGTTCTACAATATTAAAGAAAATATCAATAACTACAAAAAACTTCGCGATACTATCCAACTATTATCGTTACGTCACAATAACCACTTTTTAAAAATTGATAGAAATACCGACCAAAATTACACCATGTTATTCATACTTCTGTTTAAATCCTTATTTAAATAAATATATATAAAAAACTTAGTCAATTTAATAATGTCTATCCGTGCGAAGCAGGCCCGTTCCGGCTTTTATTAGTTTATTGATATAATAATTACAATGAATAACAGTCATCTAAGATTTTTAGATTATGTACTTATGTAGCTTCGTCATATCGGCCGTCTACTGTCCACTACTGAATATAGGCCTCCCCCAAAAGGGAGGTTTTGTCAGTAGTTGCCACGCTTGGTAGACGGGTTGGCGACCACATTTAGGCTTTGGTGATGTTCTAAGAGGGACGCTGCTGCCCATCCCTTCACCATTAAGTTGTTTATGCCGTTTACTGATACAAAAAATACAAATGACATTCTGTACTTATTGTCTGTAATACGACATTCCATGCGTTGTATACACAGACATCATTTTTATTTGCACATAAGTGAATCATACTTGTTTTTATAATAAATTGTTGATTATGTTACAGGCGCTCCGGCGGAAGAAGTTGTATCTGAAACGAAATCGCCACAAAATCGCGTCAGTGGTAAAAGTAAAAAACGAGCACCATGGAAAGGCAAGACAGAATTCAGTCACCCCTGGCACCTTAAGAATCTCAAAGGCCATCCAGGCACAGTGTTAATGGCAGATTTTTCCGCCAACGGCAAATTTATGGCCGCCACCTGTGATGGTAAGTACTATATAAAGTTGTTTGTAATTAATACTGACTAGTTAATAAAAGCCGGTTCTAATGATCCTAAAATCTACTTGAATGTTTTAGTAAATAGAGCTTATATAAAACGGCTTTTAGTCCACAATATAAATTTAATTGTTGCGTAAAGATAATGGTCACACTGAAGTCTTATTCTGTTATTTGATGCATATTAATATTTTTACATCTTTTCGACTTTTCTTCCTGCTTATTGTATTTTTGACAATATTACTTAAATATGTACACATAAAGGTGTTTAAACAACGGTGTCTGTATTTATTCGGTTGTGGGACCATTATAATTTTAATATGGCATTATACAAATAAGAAATATAATTAATATATTTAAAATGTGTTATTTTGTCTGTATATAATAATATAGAGGGCATTCTTAAACTATTTTGCCATATTACAACGTATCAATTAAAATATTTAAGTATTATGAACACAACCAAATTGATTGGGTGAGATTACGAACTTAATAAATACCTATATAGAAAATATTTTGCTTTTTCATATATATTAAAATACATTGACATGATTTATTTTGTAGGGACTTTATATTTGTAATTCGTAATATCACCTTTGTTTGATTTTAATAATCCTTAATCACAATTTCTAGTTTATATTATATATCAATAATTTAATAATCGTTCAAATTATATGTTTTTCTTTCATAATTATCAAATAATAATATAATGCATAATTGGATTACTATTCGTAACGGAAATTGTGGTTGGTGATTTACTATTTTGATTGCATTTACAGTTTAAATGGTTGTCTACAAGTTTTTTTTATTTATTAAGTCTTTTATGGTAAATGCAATCAAAGTAGCCAAAAGTTTGTCGTGCAGTCATCTGACAGGTTTCCGTCCTAATTTTAGTGCACAATAATTCTAAATTCAACACACGTCCAATATTTTGACATATTTGACGTTAAAGTAATAAACTATTGTATGTACTGTACGTGCACCAAATAATTATATATGTACTCATGTCCGGATTTAGATTTTCCTACTGTTGAAAACTCATAAGTCAGGGCTCTGCAACTCATGTACTATGACGAACAATTTAATTTATACTCTATGCGTTGTAGGATGACGCGAGAGACAGCTAGTATTTCGACAGTTTTTAATTTAAAAAAATATTAAGTGACAATTTTGGAGTTAATTTTAATCTAATAATCTTAACTAAAGCTTTCTGATAATCATATGTTTTCTGAATCCGTAAATTACGTTATTTTTTTTTGTTTTAATGACCTGTTGCTTACTCTATAACGCACCGAGTATAGTTTGTATATATTTCTCTGGATTTTAGTTAATAAAAGTTGCTGACCCCTGGTGTGAAGATCAATGAGTGAAGTCGGATATCTTAGTAAAACCTCCTTTACAAAGCGAGGTCTTCTGTCAGTGACTGCACGAGGAAGCGTCAGCGTCTTTGCGGAGACCTTGCGCTTTTTTGTCCCACTCCGCTACGCCACTGTTATGTGTAATTTGGAGGTCCGCCGGTCGATGTCACCCCAAGGCTTTTTATATGGATTTTTATAGAAAACACCAAACATTTTTTTTAATTACAGAACGTTTTTAATGCAAAAAGTATATTTCTTATTTTTTCTACAATTGGAATTATGCATAATGAAGGTTTTTTTTTTAGTTTTAATTATAATATTGATTGTTATTTTTAATGTTAATGATATAGTTTATTGTTACCGATTAGGTTTCTAAAACAGTTTTTTCATGTAGGTAAGTGTTATTAAAATCGTCTAATGTCGATTGCAGACCTTAGCATAAAGATAATCCGTTTTTAATTTTTTAAAAACGGATGTAGCTTATTTTGTAAACAATTCTTTGCTTGTATTAAATATAGCACTATATGGAAAAAAAAAAATAGACAAACTAATAGGTACTTTGTTAATGATGTGTTAATGAAAAAGTACAAAATATAGGCCCTTATCTTCTAATCTCTATTACCTAAATTTAATATCTATTAATATGCAGAAAATTTACATTAGTGTTTTTATGATATGTCATGCCTACCGTTTTAAAAAATAATCCAGTAATATTATTTTATCTAGAATACTATTTCTTCAAATATATAAATCTAATGAAAAAAAAAACAATATAAACATTATTGAAGCCATTCCACATATTCAATATTGCAAAGTTTTCTTACGCATTCCTATTATCTAATGCTATCATATTGAACCTGACTAAACTTCACACTCACGGTTCTGCAATATTCTTTTATATCGTTGTATAATTATCTTATCAAAGATTATCTAATATATTCTACTATTGATGTAATCAATCACAATAGTACTTACAGATGATAAATCATCAAATTAAATACGTTCCGGACCTTGTACAGTTTTGAAATTTGTTATATCCGTGATTGCTTTTTCAAGAATAAACAATATTATTTTTATACAAAGATAGAACACGTAGACACTGTACATTGATCAGTGATTTAATCAAATTATTGATACGTTTGTGCAATTCGGAATGATAACCAAGCTGACAGCCCAGCTGCGGTACCACTTTTGGTAATCGTCATTTATATATAGACACGAACAGTATCATCAATATTACCTTCTCTAAATAACTAGTTATGGGTTGCAAAGATAACTGAGAATCATCTTGAAGTATTGGAGTCTCTCCAATACTTGAAGATGACCCTCAGTCTGGTTGGTTACTATACGAGTCAATTGTAGTGTGTATTCATGCGTTGCTGTTTCTAAGTACTAAGATGTTATACCTCTATACCCAATTTTGCTATCATATTCCACTCCACTGAACAGCGACATAGTCGTTACAGATAAATTTTTTGAGTGTAAATATTTGTGTAAATATCATGATAATTCTTACTAATATTTATAATATTATTAAGAAAATGATGCTAAATAATTAATATAAATATGTTAATTAATATAATTTGTTAAAAAATTTCGATTCGATTTCGCCCTTTTATCGTAATCATGCAAACATTGGACATGACAAATAAAACTATACAAGCGCGCGAAAATCGGCGTAGAAAATCAGTTTCCCGCTCTAATTGTAGCAGCCGAGCGGCCCGTAGTGGCTGCGTTGAGTTGATGTGACGTTGCCGTAGCGATAAACCAGTGTAAAACGGCAACTAACAACCGGAATAGTTGCCGTGATAGCGGGGTCGCTCACCTCGCCAAAACGTCTGCGACCCTGTTCCACGGACCGCGGTCTTTGTTTACAACGATATTGTAACTGGGTCAAAAACTTGAAATGTAATACCTACAATATGTGACACATATACAGTTATATCACGGCTTTGATTGACATTCCATAAATGTGTTAATATTTTCTTAAGTGTTTTATAAAACGGATCGATGATCCGATTTTGATAATTCTTGCTAACGGGATTAGGTACTTTTGTGTTTATCCCATATTAATTTTTTTGTGAATGAATGAAGCTATCGTTTTTCTTTTCTTTCTGTCTAAGCCAAAAATTGTTTGTTGCGAAGCAAAGTCTATACACGATTTCGTAATCTAAATTCAAATATTTTGAATTTAATGTCCACGAAAAAATCTCACTACTCGTCGGTGTGTTTTGTTTTATATAAACATATAACCAATATAAATTTTGTCACGGTCGCTATTTTTTCTCTCAAAGCAAAATATACATATATAGGTTTTGCTGCACACTAATATTATGTATATTGACTAAAGTCACACGCAGCAAACAAGTTACTATTTAGGAAGCAGTTTAGTCAAAATTAAGTTGCAAAATTGTATTTGCAATTATCATTTGCCTGAGAATAACTGAGTAGGCAAGGTCGGGTTTGAATCGAATATTGTGATATAATCATCACAAATAGTAGTTACTATTTTGTCTGTTCACAGTACTAAACGCATGTTACGCTGAGTTGTTTTGCAGAACTAACCTAGGTTTATAGATCTTCATCGACACTACACATTGTAATATGTAAACGAAAATTGTATATTCTCTTTTTATTTTGTAGTGAAGGGAAATTGTAACACACAGAAAAACTCATACATACATACATACATATCTGTCACGCCTGTCTCCCATTAGGATAGGCAGAAACAATAGAACGCCAAATGCTTCGATTCAAACAAACATCTTTCGCTTCTTCCACATTCATCAATCTTTTCATACACGCTCGCCGGTTACGGGTACTTTTAATTTGGCCCCTCTTCAGTACATCGCCTATTTGGTCGACATACGTCCGTCTAGGGCGGCCCCTACCGACATCTCCGTTAATTCTTGCTCAATAAATCTCTTTCGTAATTAAGAAAAACTCAATGGTGATATATGTCAATCAATTAAATCAACGCCTGTTGAAATTTATTGGCGTTACACTAAATGCTATCAAAATCATTCAAAAAGCAATTTGTCTAACGAACATCTGAGGGGCATATTCCAGAACACTCAGACAGTAAAGTAACAAACGAAAAGTACATTTACTTAATTAGACCGGTAATCGAATCCGATACCAAATTTATCATTAGATAGTACTTCAATTCTAATTTCTTTACAAGACTTTACTTACGATGTCTTTATTGGCCTAAGAAATAGAAACTAAGGCGCGCAAATATTACAGCTGACTACCTGTGTATATGAACACTAATAGGTATTTTAAACATCGCGATAAATTTTTAGGCAATGTATTTTTAGATGTGAATAGAAACTTTTGAAACCTTTTTTTTCAAAGTCGTAGAAATTATTTTCTAAATTCGTTTGGAAGTAGAATGAAAGTATAGAAGTTCTTTGCTCTGATATAAAATGTAGCATTTATGCAAACTGTTGTTTTATCAGTTCCCAAATTACTACAGCCTTACGAAGGTTGACAATTTTTTTTTTTTGTGTATACCGAGTATTTGTAGTTATTTGTTGTTTGTGTTGTAACATGTATTACAATACAAACTACAAGAATATTAATTAAAAGTACTGAGATTACCATAAAAAAAATTGTGTATGTTTAACTGGC